GTATAATTGTGTAACAATGGGGAAAGACCAGTCTAATTTTAGGAAAAAAATAAAAGTCCAGACTGGCCTTGAACTTGAGGTCCTCCTGTCTCAGCCTCCTTTGTGCCAGGATGACAGGCACATACTACCATGCCCAGGTTTGACTGGTTGAGATGAGGTCTCTTTCTCTCTCTTTTTGGCTTGGCCTGCCTTGAACCACAATCTTCCTGATCTTTGTCTCCTAAGTAGCTAGCATTACAGGAGTGAGCCTCAGCATGGGGTTCTAGAGGACCTTTAAATGGCAGTCATCTGTAACTTTCCTGAGGTAGCAGAAACGTAAGTGCACCCCAAATAGTCACATGCTCCCCCATCTCTCAGCCTCATGCCCATAGGCAAGGTCAAAGACTAATAGAGTTGTTGGATATTCTTGTTTTCCCCTCCTAGCTGTAGCAGCCAGAAAAGCTAAATTTTGAGGGCATGGAGTCATATATTGGAAGCAGCGTGGACTCACCATGTAGAAGAGTCAGGAGCCTTGTTAAATTTTGCATAGGAAACAAATCTTTATTGGGAAGGTCACTGAGGTTTGGGGTATAGTGTGTGATGACAGCAAAGTCTAACCTATCTCACACAGTGACCGCAGAAGACAGAACACTGATGGAGGGGTCAGTCACCTTAGACCTCTCTGTGAACCCTCACCCAACACTGGACAAGAAGTCTCAGTCCCCATACACGACTACAGTCTGTCCTTTTCCAGCTGGCTGTGGGAACAGGTCTAGAAAAAATGTTTGGGTTACAACAGTTTAATTCCGGGTCAAAGCATTTGCTCTGAGTAGAGAATATGAGTGGTTCAGGCCCTGAGTCATTTATGCATTTCACCTGTGAATAAGTTCCCTGGCATTGTCCTCTCTGCCACATGCCATCTTTTCGGGGGTCAACTGGAGTTGATCCCTGATGTTGAGTTTGCTTCAACATCAGGCTGTTCTATGCTCCTGGAGATAGTTTGTCAAAATGCCTCATTATTTGCACTCAGTTCCAACGTGGGTACCTGTGGGAGGAGGGGTCACAGGCCTCTTTCCTTCAAAGCCTGCTGCCCACCCTCCTCAGCCCCTCCTGCTTGCCCCAAATATCTAGTCTTCCACCTAACCATGTGTGGCAGAAACACGTCCACAGAAAAGAAGTACAAATATGTACCCCGTTTGTCTTTGGAACCAGATGCCTGAAAAGCTCCCTTGACAGAAAAAGCTGCCACAAATAATACACTCATTTACTACTCAGGAAACACACGCCTTTCATCGAAAAGTGATGACATTAAATTGAACCAGCTCCCAGTAATGCTCTGAGTTAGTCTCACTGTCCCCATAGCACACAGGATTGTACAAAGAAAGCAAATACAGTAGCCGAGAATCTTCTGGATCCCCCTAAAAAATATTCAGTCTTGTTGGGTTCTGGTGGCTCACGCCTGTCATCCTAGCTACTTGAGAAACTGAGATTTAGAGAATTGTGGTTCAAGGGCAGCCCAGGTAAATAGTTCTTGAGACCCTATCTCCAAAATAACCAGAGCAAAATGGACTCGGGGTGTGGCTTAAGTAGTAGAGCCCCTGCTTTGTAAGCACAAAGCCCTGAGTTCAAACCCCAGTCCCACCAAAATAATAATAATCAGTCTTGAATTCTTTCTGAACTTGTCTCACTTTATGAGATGGATCTATGAAAATTGTTTTATTGATTTAATTCAATAAAACCCGATAGACTTTTAATAGCTAAAGTAGATAATAAGACTATTGACGGTTGGAGATCTGTGGAGGAAGACAGGGACCCTCCAGCTTTGATAGTGGTGGAAGGAGTGCTGGTAAAGTTAGTCTCAAAATTATGTGCAACTGGGCCAGGTATGGTGGCAAGTGCCTGTGGTCCCAGCTACTCGGGAGGCGGAGATAGGAGAATCAAGGCTCTAAGCTGACCCAGCAAAAGTGCTGGGGCATAGCTCAAGTGGTAGAACTGCTGCCTAGCAAGTGCAAGGCCCTGAGTTCAAGCGATGGCCCAGAACCATCAGAATTTCAAGAAGCTGTACAATTTTGAGAATAACTTAAAAATGCAAAGTCTTCGTCCTTGTAGGAACTTCAAAGCTAACTGTTGAGACAACTGAAAAAACACTGATTCATCTTGAACCACCATTTGCAGTATGTCAGTCAGATAGGCTTTTTTTTTTTTTTACAGTGAAAGCAAGACTTCATGTCGACCTTGCAAGATTGGGTGCCTGGTGAGCAGAAATGCAGGCAGTGGTTACAACAAGTATTCTATTGTCTAGTGAGCAAGTCCCTCCAGATGGACTTTCCTAGACATACCTGCTGCAGGTGAAACACAGCTGGGATACTGGAGTAGAAAATTCCTCCAAATACCCCACAAATCAACTCCCACTTGTATCCAATCCAATCAGTTACTGGGTCAAGAATTTTAAGTAAACAATGGTATTATTTACAACATACTTGATGTTTTCAGATTTGTCATCAAATAACTAAGCAGACATAGTGAGGAAGAAGTATATTTCACAGTCATTATAAAAGTACATATATTTAATAATGGTGACATAAATATCATCCTTACTTATGACCAAATCATACAACTAAAACGGACTTTTCCTCCTGAACTTCACACGATGACAGTTTGGTCATTTCTGTCGGTAGCTACAGGCTGGCTGAAATCACAGGCACAGACTGATGGACAGTCATGGGTCAAACAAACAACACACTTTGTACTTATCAAAGGGATAATCAAGTTTTCCATATAAATATAATAAAATAATAAAGACTTTAACATTTCTTTCTTTCACTTGATTTTATAGATTTGTCTGCCAGGTGCTCACACACACCAAAAACACAGCTTCTTCCCTTACCCCACTCCCCTGTGCCTCTCACTGGGTTCACAATACACCTGAGTTCAGATTCCAAGTTATCCATGGCAACACAGTCAGCTAGTGGTACAAAATGTGCAGCTGTTCTTGAGTGTACAAAGAACAGGAAACACGCTCTCCATGAGCCAACAGCAACACAAAACTACACAGATTTGTGAGGAAAGTAAGATGCAAGAAAAAGACATAGGGAGTACCAAAAGGTCACATGGCACAGGTACACATCCTGCTAACTAGCAGAGTGAGCCAGCTGCAGGTGGAAACCATCTTTAAAAAAAGATTCTTCACCCATCAAAAAATCAAAACATGCCATGTCATCTGGAGAGATGATTCTTTTCTTCTCTCTGCTGAAAAAGCTGTTGTCAATGGTAAATTCTGGAACACAGACCAAAGCCACACAAAGCCACACCAGCAGCTGGGAGATTGAGTTTCTCCTGCTGTGCTGTAGGGCTGGGGGGATACCCTCCAGAGGGTTTAAACAGCCCAGGTCATGCCAAGGTCTTAATGGCTTCCAGGGTCAGCCAAAGAGCTGTTCTCTCCTTGCTCAGTTAGAGCTGTGAGAGACCAAAGGACGTCTCTACTAATGAGACATGGTAAAAACCCACCTGACTGCTCTCTCGTGAAGGGCTAGCTACTGGAAGAAATGAGGCTGGCTTTACAATTTTGAGGGACATGCCCACTTTGGAATCAACAGACTAAGATAACTACTCTGGGGTGGCTAGAGTCGTGGTCTCAGGTCACATCCACATTAGGCCAATGTTGAAGATTCCAGACTGTTCTGGAAACTGTCTCCTAAACTAACTACTATCCAACCTGTGCCAATTCTTGCCCTTCTTACAATTCTGCTCATGACGAAGTATCCCCTGCCAGGTGCCAGGGGTCAGGCCCCACATGGAGGCAATCCCCAACAGGTTCCAACTGCACACAGTCAGACAACACTGAGGTCCACAAAACGCACACGTAGGGACGTCACAGTCACAAAACCAGAGACACATCTTTGGTTCAATCCTTGGCAAAAGGTATGGAAACACAACATGGACTGAAAGCCTGTTTGGGGTACACTGCTTTCCTGGAGGAAGACGCTGTGCTGTTCTTGAACCCGTTCCCCACCAGGCAAGCCTGATCACAGCCCACTGCAAACATGCACTTGTCTCTGGGCAGCTGGAAAATGGCGTTATACACAGATGTCATCTTCCTGCCATCCAAATTCTGCCGTGACCATTCTTTCTTTCTTTCTACAGAATCAACTGCAACCATGTTTTACACCTCCCAGAAGGATCAAGGCTCTGTTGATACAGTGATGTAAACATAGGGTGGCAGGGATCCTGGCCCTCCCACAGGCCACTGTGGTCCAAGGCCATTAAAAACACTACTTGAGCCAGTTTTTTGGCCATTCATGTTATATCCTCTTGTGAAAACATGAATGTGGTGAACTGCTTCTCATTTCCCCATTTTAATGACATCACAGAAAGTAAACAATCTCTTTGGACGAGATTATTCAACCATCAGCAAATTTCAACCAAAAATACATTGGCCAAAACCTGGCCTGGAATGAGTATTTCCTACAGTCTTTTCTTTCATGGGGGTCCTCACTGTTTGGTTCCATCTTTGTCCAAGGTTCTGCTCTGTCTTCCTCTGGGGTCCCTGGGGCTCAGCACTGTGGGTCACTGCTCCTGCCTGGCTGCAGGGATTCAGTTAGGAAAAAAAGGGCCACTTCCTTCCTCAGAAGAAACCCTGGCCCAGATGAATGACACTGTGGTACTGTTAGCCCCTGTGACCAACTGCAGAACAGAACAATCCACAGAGAGGCACACACGTGCACAGAGTAAAGAAAGACCTGGTAACAGTCTGTAAATCTGAGTGGTCCAGAAGGCAGGGGGACAAGGGAAGGAGCAGGATGAGAGTAAGGTGGGTCTCAGATTAGAATTGGCTGTCTCCGTAGCTAGCCCCCTAGTGACCACGAGGAGCATGGGGGTCCCCACGTGAGGTTGATTTGTGCAGGCTTTGGGTCTGTGGATTCCGACTGATCCATACTTGGGAGGTTGCATGACAGGAGCCGATGTGGCCATAAAGGATGCTCCACTGACTGTTAACACCAGAACCTCACAGCCGGCACAGATTAACATTGACCCTTGACCCCATCAGCAATGTCAAAGGAAAGGCTGCTGGGGGCCGTGGGCTGCAATGGTGGCAAGCTGGCCTCCAGGGGCCTCTCTGCAGTGGGTTGCAGGCTCTGACGCTTCCTTAGCATCTGCCCAATGCCCATCATGGGGAACCTGCCCCGGCTCTTCACACAATTGGGGCTCCCCAGAGGCTGTGTTGGGCCACTGCTAGGAACCGGAGGTGGGGAACACACACCCTCCTCTTTTGCGGGGCTGTTCTTGTCTTCATGAGCCAAGGAGAGCAGAGTGGAATGCAAAGGAGTTTGGAGAGGTGACAGGCTTCCAGACAGCAGACCTGCAGACAGCGTCCTCTCACTAGAATTCCTGCGAGCCAAGCTCACGGGGGAGTTCAGAATCCTATAGTGGACAGGGGACGGGGACAGGAGTTCTACGTGGTCATCGCGATCCACAGACTCAAAGGAGCGCACCATGTCCAGTATCAGAGGGTCTTCCTTGGGGAGGACGCCGATGCTCCCAGACACTTGCTGATGGGGTTCTGGTTTCTTTATAATCCTGGGGGTCCTGGGAGGTGGGACAGAGATGAACTCCATGGAAGAAGAAGCCACACAATTGGAATCAGAAGTTTTGCGGAAAATATTGCGGCAGCCGAAGGAATCTGCACATCAAGAAAACAAAACCAAAGACCTCATGACAGCCACAGCAACAGTGTACCTGGCCCTTCCCCTGCCTGTGCCAGCCCCTAGATTGGCTGAGACAGTGACCCTGCAGAGGGCAGGAGGAATTGAGAAACAGAACAGCCTTAGTTACTTGGGAAAGGAGTCAAACACAGCAACCCATGACCCCAGAGAGGTTCTGACAGACTTTCTAGGAGGGAGGGGACAGAAGGCTGGAAAGGAGGCCCCAGCTTAACATCTGGTCCCCTTTCAGTTGCTTAAAATTCTAGACTCTATGGAGAGGATGAATACAATCACAGTACATTAAACGCATATATGGAAATGTCACAATGAAACCCCTCACTTTGGACAATTAAAAGGTACATATGTTGAACAGGTCATCTACTAAACTCCAGCAAATACACTGAGTCTGACTTCCTACTACTCACCTGCAAATCTGACCCTGGAAAGGCTTATACCTTAGGAACATTTTTGAGTTTTCATTTTGTTTATAATTCATCATGGTAAAAAATACATAGCAGGAAATTTATCATCTTAACTATTATTCAGTAAATAGTTCAGTAAGGTACATGCACATTGTGTAATCAATCTTCATAGTTATTTTCATCTGATAGATAAACTACTCTGTGCCCCATTAAATCCTCACTCCCATTCCCCTCTCCCTGCCACCAGGACAACCACCACTCCATTTCCAGCCTCTATGAATTTGACCTTTCTGGGGATCTCATATAAATGGGATCATACAGTATCTGTAATTTTGTGACTGGCTTATTTCACTTGGCAAAATGGCTTCCTCTGTGTCCTCACATGTTGCAGCAGGTGTCAAGATTTCTCTTCCTTTTAAAGTTCCTTCATGCCTTTGAACTTGATGGACACTTATCTACTTCTGAACAGGGCTGGTTCATGTGCACAGTTAAGGCAACCAGCCAGCCTCCATGATTTTCCATCTCAAGTTGGCACAGACTAGAATCTAGGTTTGCAAACTATATAATAGGAAAGAGAATAAATCACTACAGGTTTGGAGCTGAGGGAAATAAAGCCAAGTTCACGTGGATTAAGCTCTGGCTTAGATTCTTTTCTCTATGTAACATTTTAGAGGCCCGCCGAGGCCCAGCTACAGGAACACACAGTTGCCCACTGGGAGTGATTTCAGGAGCAGCTGAGGGCTGCTTGGGTCTGAGTACCTCCCTGCTATATAAATAAATACACAGACACTGAAATAAACTCCTCAGGCGGCAGATGCCTGAGATCCAACATCAGCAAGAAGTAAAAGTTCATTAATGGCTAATGTCTCCAATGCTCCAGCTGGCACGAGAGCATTGCCGCCCTGAGGTCTGCTATACCAAGGAAGGCAGGCTGCTTTGGGCCACGTGGGGACAGTGGCCCTTGTCCTGAAGTCTCACGAACTGTCCAGCAATCCTGAGTTGACCTCAGATTGCCATGGCCCTCTATGTGAAGAACTCTGGTTTCTTCATGCTTAAAACAGAGAGACTAGAATATCTCCCAGTCCCTCAGTAACGCCTCTGCCACGCAGTTCTATGTCAGGACACCCCTTGGTCCTGTGTCCCCTCTCTTGGTGTTTCTCCTCTCTGTGTTGAGATGATGCCTGTGAGCTCTCCTGTCCACATCCTCCCTGTCTGTCTCAGAGGAGGGACAATCACATTTAGGGGAGGAGCCTACATTTGTATGTCATTGCATCCACTTGCCAGCTCTACCAGGTAAGGACTGTTACAAGTAAAGGAAACAAGGAAGACCCACAATGAGCAGTAGAGATGGGATTTGAACTTGGGTCTGAGTACCTTACTCCCGCCCTAGAGCCCAGACTCAGTTATACTTCAATGCCTCACAGAAGCCATGTTTCTAGGGAAGGCTTCAATAAAACCATGCCCAATCTATGGTCTACCATGCTGGGCCCTTGAACCCTGATTTCTATTCCCATAGCCTAGTCCCTATCTCTGTAATGCAAGGCACCCATTCATGACTGTGAACTCTGTGGGTCTCAGTGTGGGATCCTGCACACTTAACTGTATTCCTATACCCAACTTTACTCCTATAATACCTTACACCCCAACCTCTGCACCCAGGATACAATGCACGCCAACCTCTGCTCCCATGATACAATGCATGCCAACCTCTGTTCCCAGGATACAATGCATGCCAACCTCTGCTCCTAGTAGGCCATGCACCCCAACCTCTGCTCCTACAAGGCCATGCACCTCAACCTCTGCTCCTACAAAACCATGTACCCCAACCTCTGCTCCTACAAAACCATGCACCCCAACCTCTGCTCCTAAAAGGCCATGCACCCCACCTCTGCTCCTAAAAGGCCATGCACCCCAACCTCTGCTCCTACAAAACCATGCACCTCCACCCTCTGCTCCTACAAAACCATGCACCCCCAACCTCTGCTCCTACAAGGCCATGAACCCCAACCTCTGCTCCTAAAAGGCCATGCACCCCAACCTCTGCTCCTACAAGGCCATGTACCCCTCAGAGAGTTAACAGCAGACACACAGTTTCACAGACGTGAACTGAGAGGGTCCCTGGAGCTGACCCACCTTTGTCTGGGAAGCTGGACTTGGACGCCTTCCGGTCCTTCAGAAGAGCTTTTGTGTTCTGAATCTGCGTGATGAGTGAGACCGAGGGCTGTTTGTGTGAGGGCAGGTTCTTGTCCAACTTCTTGGAAAATGGTCGATGAAGAAAATCCCCTCTTTTTTCTTGTTCTTTGGGCTTTTTATCCTTCAAATCAGAAGCAAACATACACACTCAGATACACACGAGAAGATGAGATGAGAATCCTGCATCAAAAGTCAGCCAAGTAGATTAGAGAAACTCCAGCATTTCAATTCTACATGCTCTCTAGCATGTGTCAGATAAGGTCTGGCCAGGGCTTTGTCTCCCTCTGCCTGGCCAACCAGACCTCACCTGTCTAGCTTGATCCCATATGCTATGCTGTTTCAAGTTGTTCTAACAAGGCCAAGGCCACCTCCAGAAAGTCAGTTATTTTAGAACAAGCTGAATGAAGTATGGAAAAGCAGATCAGGACTTCTGGAAACCTACTGTGTGCATTTAAAATGCTCCCCTAGTTAGGCCTGGTGGTGCATACCTGTAATCCCAGCACTCAGGAAGCTGAGGCAGGAGGATTGTGAGTTCAAGGCTAGCTTGAGATATACAGTGAGAAACTGCTTCAAATATATAAAACAATAATTAATTAGTTTAAACAATAAAGTGATGCTCTGTGCTCCTACCCACAAAGAGGCTTTGCAGCTTGAGACCTAACTGCTTCCATCTTAACAACACCCCCCATGAGCTCAACCAGGCCAAGGTGCCCAACACAACTGGATAAGAAGTCCAGAATCCTAAACAGTCCTGATTGGGTTTCCTGCCCTTCCCACCCTCTATGCATGGGAGCACTTACTTATGAACCTAAAACTCGCATATCTGCAGCCAGTTTTGCTATAAATTCCATCTTTATAGAACAAGGTGATAATCCCTCTCATTGAGTGAACATGGCTATTTGAGGTGCTGTCAACCCCACAGCCCACTGGCATAAAGCCAGGCACTTAGAACGTGTAATAAATAGCGATTTGAATATTTTTTTAAAAGAAAGGAAAAAAGGCCAGTGGCAACCAAACAGAGTTAAAAGTAATTGAGTTCAGGCTTCTGGGCAGGGCCTAAAGAGTGCACTTGGCACTCACTGTTAAACATAGACAGCATCCTGACCTTGCCCTGGGGGAGGGGCAAAGGCAGTGCCCACAGTTTTGCCTTCTACTTGAAGAGCATTTGCAATTCAGGAGAGTTCATCTATTTTTTATTTGTGTTGCTGAAAAGATTCTCAAAGAAACACCTCTTTGCACTTTTAAAACAAGGGTGCCCAGTGCCTTTGAAGAATGGGGTTCACCATGTCCAGCTTTCTAGTGGGGAAGGGATGAGAGTGGGAATTCAGGCCTTTGGAGCCACTTTGGGGAGAAGTAGTTTCTGGGGCGTCTAACCCTTAGCCAGTGGCTTGTCCCCACTGGAGGGGTGAAGTGGGAAGAAAGCAGAGGAAAAGCCTCTACAATCTCCTCCCCTACACCCTAGTAGCCTTCATGAGGACACAGGGAGCTGTCGCTACATTAAGAATAGGACATGCCAGCCATTTAGCCCCCTTTACAAATGAGCACATACCCTGGGATGATTCACCAGGGGCAGGGTGAAAACTCAGATTTCCACAGTCCTGAAGTCAGTGCTGCGAACCCTTTACATGACCCTCTTAAAGCCTGGGGGGTGGGAGGATGTCAGGAGATGGCAACTGGGGGAGAGAAAGGGAAGACACAGCTAGAAGCATGCTGTAGTCGGCTCCTGAAAGTTTATCTGAATGCAATGTCGGAGGCCTTGGCCTTCAGGTCACCATTTGGTGCTATGTTTTACCTGCCCTGTCCAATACCTGTGTCAAGATTTAAGTATCATTGTGATTGCATTAAGAAGTGGGCCTGCTCGCTAAAAATATACAATGGAGAAAAAGCAGCCTCTTCAACAAAAACTGCTGGGAAAACTGGTTAGCAGTCTGCAAAAAACTGAAACTACATCCATGTTTATCACCCTATACCAAGATTAACTAAAAATGGATCAAGGATCTTAATATCACACCCCAAATTCTAAAGTTGGTACAGGAAAGAGTAGGAAATACTCTGGAATTAGTAGGTATAGGTAAGAACTTTCTCAACGAAACCCCAGCAGCACAGCAACTAAGAGATAGCATAGATAAATGGGACCTCATAAAACTAAAAAGCTTCTGTTCATCAAAAGAAATGGTCTCTAAACTGAAGAGAACACCCACAGAGTGGGAGAAAATATTTGCCAGCTACACATCAGACAAAGGACTGATAACCAGAATATACAGGGAACTTAAAAAACAAAATTCTCCCAAAACCAATGAACCAATAAAGAAATGGGCAAGTGAACTAAACAGAACTTTCTCAAAAGAAGAAATTCAAATGGCCAAAAAACACATGAAAAAAATGCTCACCATCTCTAGCAATAAAGGAAATGCAAATTAAAACCACACTAAGATTCCACCTCACCCCTGTTAGAATAGCCATCATCAGCAACACCACCAACAACAGGTGTTGGCGAGGATGCGGGGAAAAAGGAACCCTCTTACACTGTTGGTGGGAATGTAAACTAGTACAACCACTCTGGAAAACAATTTGGAGGCTACTTAAAAAGCTCAACATTGATCTACCATTTGATCCAGCAATACCACTCTTGGGGATATACCCAAAAGACTGTGACACAGGTTACTCCAGAGGCACCTGCACACCCATGTTTATTGCAGCACTATTCACAATAGCCAAGTTATAGAAACAGCCAAGATGCCCCACTACTGACGAATGGATTAAGAAAATGTGGTATCTATACACAATGGAATTTTATGCAGCCATGAAGAAGAACGAAATGTTATCATTCGCTGGTAAATGGATGGAATTGGAGAACATCATTCTGAGTGAGGTTAGCCTGGCCCAAAAGACCAAAAATCATATGTTCTCCCTTATATGTGGACATTAGATCAAGGGCAAACACAACAATGGGATTGGACTTTGAGCACATGATAAAAGCGAGAGCACACAAGGGAGGGGTGAGGATAGTTAAGACACCTAAAAAACTAGCTAGCATTTGTTGCCCTTAACGCAGAGAAACTAAAGCAGATACCTTAAAAGCAACTGAGGCCAATAGGAAAAGGGGACCAGGAACTAGAGAAAAGGTTAGATCAAGAAGAATTAACCTAGAAGGTAACACCCACGCACAGGAAATTAATGTGAGTCAACTCCCTGTATAGCTATCCTTATCTCAACCAGCAAAAACCCTTGTTCCTTCCTATTATTGCTTATACCGTCTCTTCAACAAAATTAGAGATAAGGGCAAAATAGTTTCTGCTGGGTATCGAGGGGGTTGGGGGGAGAGGGAGGGGAGTGGTAAGGGAGTGGGTGGTAAGGGAGGGGGTGGGGGCAGGGGGAGAAATGACCCAAGCATTGTATGCACATATGAATAATAAAAAATAAAAATTAAAAAAAGAAAAGAAGTGGGCCTGCTATTAAGTAAGGAGTCATTAAAAAAAAAGTGGACCCTTTTTTTGGTGGGACTGGGGTTTGAACTCAGGGTTTTGTGGTTGCACAGCAGACACTCTATCACTTGAGCCACACTTCCAGTCAGTTTTGCTCTGGTTATTTTGGCAACAGGGTCTTGTGAAATATTTGCCTGGGCTGTCCTGGAACCTCAACCTTCTGATCTCAGTCTCCCAAGTAGCTAGGATTACAAGTGTAAGCCATTGGTGCCCAGCTGAGGAAGGGGCCCTTTAAAGCCAGATGTGATGGTACACACCTTTTACCTCAGCACTCAAGAAGCTGAGGCAGGAGAATTAAGAGATCCAGGCCAGCTTGCGTGAAATACCAAGACCCTGTCTCCAAACAGAAAAAAAAAAAAAAGGTGAGATTTTTAAAAGGTGACTGAGTCACAAGGGCACTGCCCTCCTGGAAGGACAAACACTGTTATCACAAGAGTGGGCTCCTGAAAAAGGATGAGTTTGGCCATATTTTTCCCTCTGACTCTCTGACATGGTTCCCAGCCTTGTGATGCTGTCTGTCACGATGATGTGGCAAGAAAGCCATCCTCAGGTGCCAGGGCTGTGCTACTAGACTTCCCAGCAGGAAGTCTAAGGAAATAAATCTCTGCTCTTTATAAATTACCCAGTCTCAGGCAATCTGTTACAGCAGCAAAACATGAACTAAGACATCCAGGATGCTCCAAAAGGGACCATGTGCTCCAGGTCACTTTGGCCAAGGTCAGGAGGGGACAATAAAAATTTTCCATTGCTTTTCACTCCTTTGTTTCCATGAAACTAACAGGCCACCTTGTCTAAGGCAAAGGAAAACAAGCTTTACAGCACACAAACACACAGTGTCTAGCATCAAAAGGGATATGATCAGTCTGTCCTGAAAAGTCTGGCAGAATTCCTTCCTTTTGCTTAGTTTTCAATCTGTGTTTTGATGTGAAAGTCACCATTTCTACCTGTTAATACCTAAAACAGGAAAACAAAATGTACTTTTGTGATGTATTTTAAAACAATACTGGATAGAAAAGATCAAACTGCCTTCAGACCTTTTCAGGATGTTTTTAGTGACCAGCAAATGCTCCTTCAACTTGTCTGTGATCCCAATGCTTACAGAGCTGCCAGCAGCTGGAGGGGTCCACTTCTGCTCCTTCCCAACCCTCCTTGGGGGTCTTGAAAGCTTAAAAATCAAGTAACAAAATTTCTGGGGCCAGCATCACTGCCCAGACTGAATTCAGTAGCAACAAGAGTTGTATAAGGCTCAAGAGTGTGGGGAGCAGACTATGAGAAGCCTATGAAAACCGAACGTAAGCACAGCTCATTCAGTGTTCTGCAGTCTGAGTTTGGCACAGCTCCAGCAGCAGAAAAGGAAAAATGCAGGACAGCTACTTTTCCTAAGTTGTTTACAACCAGAAAGGTAGATCGCAGGTTCCTCTTGTTACAATGTCACGCCCCTCCTGGAGAACTGCTGCTCCACTCTGTTTACCTCTGGGTATAAAAGACTCACTGAAGGAGGATGGGAGGCATTTGGCTTTTGGCTTTTTGATGGGGAAGGGTTTTGGATGTGGGAGGCTTTTGGATTGAAGGGAGGCTTTTTGATGGAGGGTTTTTGGCTGAAGGGAAATTGCTGAAGGGAAAAGGATTGCTGAAGGAGAATTGCTAAAGGGGAATTGCTAAAGCTAAAAAGATAACATGAGACAGTGCAAGTCTGAGGGCAAAGACTTTAAGAGAGATTATGCTAAAGAAAAGCTAAGAGAAAACATGGGACAGAGCGAGTCTAAGAAAAAGAGACTTTAAAGAACAGAAAAGAAGACTTTAGAAGCAAGGTTTTAAGGAAAGACTTTATAATCAAGGTTTTAAAGAATTTAAAGGAGTAAGTCCTTAAAGCATAAAGAAAGAGAAAAGAAGCAGAGTAAAAAGAAGAGATTAATAGAGATAAGAAGCAATGAGGCTGTTGTGTGTCTCCAACCAAGTGCCCAACACACCTGGCCCCAACTTTCTGTCTGTCTGTCTATCCTGTGTTCTTTCTGCAGCTCTCATTGTCCTAGTTAGGCCCAGTTAGGTTCAGTAATAACCAGAAGTGAGAAAAAGCTTGCTCCACAAGAGTTTGCTACGAAAGGAGACTGAGATTGGCCTGTAAAACCAAATGTTCCAACAGAGGGATATTTGGCAAAGAGCAGAAAGCCCTTTATGGGAGCAAAGAAAGGGAAATTTCACTGCTGGATCTACAATTCCAGGGAACTCTGTTGAGATCACCCTTGTTGAGCTGAATTCCAGAATGCTGCACCTAGCATGTCCTTCCCCAGCACCAGTTTCTCCAGGCTAGATTGACAAGAATAAGCAGTGACTTCGGCCAGGTGACAATGATTCATGCCTGTAAACCTAGCTACTTGGGAGATCAGGAGGATCAAGGTTCGAGGCCAGCCCCAGCAAAGAGTTCACAAGATCCCATCTCCAAAAAAAACCACAGTAAAATGAATTGGAGGTGTGGCTCAAGCAGTAGAGCACCTGCTTTGCAAGCATGAAGCCCTGAGTTCAAACCTCAGTCCTGCCAAAAAAAAAAAGGAAGCAGTGATTTAACAGTAACCAGTTTCCAAGGAGCAAGCAAGAATTCATAGCTGACCATCCTCTAGGAGGGAAAATGTTGGCCCAGTCCACGAAGAGGGTCAGCAGCTCAGAGGAAATCTGCTGAACCAGCTGACATCATTGCCCTCCAAGCACGTGCTATCAAACGCAAATGATCACCTGATTATACCTTTTTGTCTGCATGGCCTATTTTCTCCAAAAGAAATTTCCCAGGGAGCAGGATGCTCAACTGCCTTACACCTTATGTAACAGAAAAGATCTTCCAAGGGACTGATCCCGCTCCAGGATGCTTGGCCTCCCTCCCCACCCATCAATGCTGCTGCCTGCAGAGACCTGGCTTCCTCACCAGGACACTGAATCTCCTCACCCAGTGTCCCCACACCCATAAGGACCCAATAGCTGGTGAAGGAATTCGGGTTTTTGGCTCTAAGTACTTCTTTGCATCCCAGCAGCACAGTCTTTCACTCTCAGGTCAGATACGAGAAAAGACATACGAGGTCCAGGGTGCAAGCTGTACACAATATAGCTTCTTGATCTCTGTCAACTGTTTCCACCCACGGGAGTTGTGCATGGACATTTACAAAACTGGACATTCAGAAAATGTGGCCACATGAAGGATTAGCTACCCAAACTCTTTCTGTCTTGTATCATTTGATGGAAAAGAGCCAGGGGGATAAGCACCAGGCTCCAGTTGGAGCTCAGACTCTGAGCCCTCCTCAGAGTCTCCCCTGCTGGCTGTGCCACTGGGGGTATGATAGTCACTGAAGGATGACTCCAGGCTCCTGGAGGTCCTGGGACATCCATGGCTGTGTGGTGATAGCTTAGCAGTCTGGAAATTCAGACTCCATTCCTGCCTTTCTCTGTAACTTGATGGTGACCTCGGGCAAGTATTCTCCCATTTATTAACCAAAACTGGGGATCCTTCCCAGTTCTGTGAGGATAAACAAAAATCCACACTGCCCTATTCCTTGTCTGAACAGCAAATGCAGTGATTTAACAAGGATGGATGCTCTGAGACTCACCACCATCCCAGGCTGAAGAAAAACCACTACCTTCCCATCACTCAATGAAAAATGGAGGCAGAAAGTGACTCTGGCAGCAGAGGGTCCTGGGGGCCGAAGGCAGCTGAAGCTTTTTCATTTGAGTCACTGTATCAAGTTCAGCTCACTGGGCGCTTTTCTGGAGTTGACTGGCTAGCCTGATGGTCAGGAAGCCTCCCCAGTTGCTTGGAACATCAGAACCAGGTACTGACCCCACTACCTGGCAGGTGCCCAGGTGTCATTGGCTGGTTGGTTTTGGTTCCTTGTTGCCCATCATATAAGAGAAAGCCTGATTTTACCACAGGGTGAGGGGAGGGAAAACTGTGTATAAATTTAAAGAAAGAGGGCTTGGTTCATAAGTTAGACTACCGAGTCAGGAAACCCTGGACTGCTGCAAACCTAGTTTCTCATACAGGCAGAAACAGGAACGCATAGCCAAGAAGTTACAGCATCCTATAACACAGAGACACAGTGAACTCAACACAGAAAGCACTGGTCTGACCTGAGGAGACTCAGACCAGCCCACTCACAGCAGGATTCTACATGTTTTAATTCAGGATGAGGACAGGGGTGTGTAACACCTCATGGGTGGGGGAAAGACAGGCCAATCCTTAGGATCCTGTGTGATGGTTAATTTCATGTGTTGATTGGCTGGGCCATTTGTTTGGTCAACCACCAGTCTATCTGTTACTGTGAAGGGAGTTTGTAGATATCATTAACAGTTACATCTGCAGATATTAAGTAGATTCTCCTCCAATAATGTGGTGGGTCTTACCCAATCAGTTGAAAGCCTTAAAAAAAAAAATATGTTCTTCTGGAAAAATAAATTCTGCCTCTAGATGGGTTTTGGACTTGAAACTATAGGATCAACCCTTTCCTGGGTCTTGGGCTTACTGGTACGCTCTAGAGATTTTGGACTTGCCAGCCCCCAGAATCATGGGAGCTTATTCCATACAAATCTCTCTTTCCATATCTGTGAGTGAGAAAGATAGAGAGTATGTGTTTGTTTCTTTGGAGACCCTGACTAACATACCAGAACCCCCCAAAGTCTCACCTGTACAGCAGCATGGAGTTCAAAGTCTCTTGTCCAGGTGTCCAGGGAGGCCTGTGGAAAGTAGATTATTCAATAATTCAAGAAGCTACACCTGCTATTTATTCCCCAGAGTCTACCACCTCCTACTTCCCCTGCAGCTCTGATCGAAAATTATTCATTTCAATGTTTATAGACAAAAATATCAAGCCCTTAAATCATAGTGGAAGTAGACAGCCAATGTCCTAATGCATAGGCCAGAGAGATTTCCTAGGGAAACATTTTATTAAAAACGAAGACTCAGAGCACAGGAGTGCACCAAGCAAGCAGTTCGATATGTTTCTTAAACAGCAAAAATGACCATGGAAACAGCACCCACATCAAGACACAGAACCCAGCTGGCACCTGCAAAGTTCTCCTTGTGTCTTCTGCATCTTTTCATCCCCGAAAGAAACCACCAGAAGCACAGATTGTCTGACCTGATTCCACACTTTATTTTAAAAAGTTGTAGAGATTTTTAAATAAGACACAAAATGCACACCTGACATTGACTTTTAAACTTATATTCCCTGGTGTGGTTGAATCAGATTCTCTCAAAACTTGTATGTTGAAATTCTAGCCCCCAGGATCTCAGAATTTGACCTTATTTGGAGACAGGGTCTTTACAGAGATGATCAAGTTAAAATGAGGACGTTAGGGTGGGCCTTAATCTAACAGACTGCTGTCCTGACAAAGAGGGAAATTTGGACACAGATGTGCAAACGAGAAGGACGAGAACGATGCAGTACAAACCAAGGATCACCAACAACCAACAGAAGCTAAGAGGAGGCCTGCAGCACATCGCCCCTTACAGTCAAGAGAGGAACTAGTCTTGCTGACACCTTGACCTTGGAAAACAAAGTCTCTGAGACCACAGATTCCTGTCCAGTTGTGGTGTTTGGAACAGCAAACTGATCAAACTAATCCAAGTCTTCTGCCACCTACTAGACAAGGGTTCCTCTAAAACTCAGTATTTCTTTATGTCTTAGAGACCTCTTATTTCTGTTTCACATTTTTGTACAAACCAATGTTACTTTTAAAAAAGACTTTAACAAAAATGGTTTGGGGCCCTATGTGCCTAAAATAGTTGCCTTGCCTCTACCCTCATGGATCCCAAGGGTCTCTTTTCAGGAAGAGGGTCCCTTGGGTACAAGTAGAGGTGTTTTCAGGTGAGGTGTGAGTCCCACTTTTGTAAGTATATTCTCTGTCTTTAAAGCCCTCCCAAGGGCTGGAATTACAGGCGTGTACCACCATGCCTGGCTCTAGTGCTTTGTCTAACTAGCCCTATTCTACTTTCTAGGTTCCAACAGAGACAAGCTGGGCATTCTAGTAACAGCCTGTAATTCAATTAGCAGAAGTACCACTGAAGTTTGCAGAAAACAAATGGATCATAGAACACTGAGCTGCTGTTTGCCCATTAAAGTTCCTAGTTAAATCCTAACTGTTCAATATTTCAACAAATGCTTAAAACATTTACCATGTGTTTTCAAGCCAAGTGAAATAACTGTTAGAGAAAAAGAATCCGAATGAATGTCCCTTTTACATCAGGGCTCTGGCCCTTTTGGCCACACAGCCACAGGGAGTTGGGTGTGAGAGCAGCAGAGAGGTGAACACAAGGCTGTCAGCAAAGAGGCTTAGTGACCACCCAGAAAACACACTGGGCACCCACTGCAGCAGAGGGCATTATTCTATGAGTCACACACAAGCCAAGAGGCGAGGAGCCTAACCACAAATTTTGAATTCCCTGGATTCCAGTGGGGTGACCACCCTCAGGGCAGGCACTCCCTGTCACACATAAATCATTGCCATCCAGCAATCATGCCTCCTATGTGCGATGCTTCGGGTATCTCCTTTAATCAAGCCAGTTGTCCCACCTGGAATGTCCTGTCTTCCCTACTTCTACCCATTTTCTGAGATTCAGGACAAAGTCCACTCGATTCTTTCATTTGTCCATTTAGCAAACATTTTTGTACCAGGCATCCCAAAGACTCTAGAGATACTCACTCGGTTCTTATAGAACTCATAGCTCAGCGTAGGAAATATTAATCAAATAGTTCCTAAATGAGAAACTGCAGAAGATGGTGTGACAGCTGTTCTGAAGGGATGGGATATAATGGCAGACAGAGGTCAGGGACTAACAGGGGTCCATGGAGAGCTGACCTTGCCTTGGGATCTGAAGGCACACAGACATTGACCAGGTAAAGGCAGATGGAGAGAACAGCCTAGAAGAGGGAACAGTGTATGCACAGCCCTGGCAGGAAGAGGAGCAGAGCAAGCGCAAAGGCCTATGGGAATGGACACAAAGCAAGAAGCAAGGCTGGGTGTGTGCTAGGCAGGGAAGTGATCTGATGTGACTGAAAAGTAGCAACTCGCTCTGACTCCAATGCAGAAAGAGTAGCGGTGGCCATTGGGGAAGCAGGGGGGCCAGTCAGGAGGCTGTAGCAGCAGCCTGAGTGAGAGGGGATGAAGCTGGGACCAGTAGGGGTTGGGGCTGGAGACAGCAGAGGGCTTAAGGGGCTTAGGAATCAAGTCAGCAAGACTTGGAAGGGGCTGGCTCTGACGAATGGTAAGCTTTAAGAAGGACACCTGGGTTCCTTGGGGTGGGGGGTGGGGGCGGGGTGGACAGGGCCACTACTAACTGTAAGTGGGAGAAAGTTTGGTTCTGGGCATGCTAGACTGGAGACGTTTGCTCACGCAAAAGGAGGTTAACACAGTCAGAACTGGTCAGAGGGCCCTGGAGGTCAAGGGGCATCTGGGTCCCATACTACACCATTTTCCTATCTCTGACCAGCAAGTTACTGCCAGAGACAACCCACCCTCCAAAGAGCTCATCTCCATCTTGTCACCCTGGTGCCCCACAGCTGGGCTGAAGGAGGAGGCATACAGCCTGAGGTCAAGGCTAACCCCTCACTCCATAGCTGCTCTGAATCCCATCCCCCCACCCCACCTCCTCCCCCAGCCTACGTGTCCTTCAGTGGAGACCATGTCCTCTCTCCTCTCACTTGAGCATCAGTGACAGAAAGGCTGGTGTCCACTGTTGTCACTTCCCTCTTTGCACCCCCAAATCTGGGCAATCTGTCCTCAGCCTTCTCTACTTCCACAGTGCTGCTCACCCAGCATCATCAGGACCACGAACTTCTCAGGTGATTGCTGACTTTTTTTGTTTGTTTGTTGGGTGGCACTGGGGCTTGAACTCTGTTTTTTTCTTTTTTGTGTTTTTATTTGGATGTACTGAGGTTTGAACTCAGGACCTACGCTTGCAAGACAGGCACTCTACCACTTGAGCCACTCTGCCACTTGAGCCACTTCACCAACTCCTGGTTGCTGAGTTTTGCATGTAACCTTTTCCTCTGCTCCCCAGGTCTCCCTGGTGTCCCTCCTTTCTGGCTCTCCTGCCCCCTCCCTGACTACTCCTTGTTATCTTTTTGCTGGGTCTTCCTCTGTCCCAGGCTCTGTCTAGAATGGGCAGCCATGCCACTGTCTCTGGTCTTGACTCTCGGGACTGGCCCTTTTCCTGAACTCCCATCATCTATAAATGAGGTGCTTCACGCTCAGCACCCAAAGTCACTACATTCTCTGGACAGGGATGGAAGATGCCACCTTCCCTAGTGGCATGTATGACTCGTGGTTCAGGAAGAAAATGTGGCATAGGAAAAGGAAAAAGGGCAGTGGCCATGACATGGAGGAGGAGCTCTTTCTCATCTTTCCTCCAATGAAGGAATTCCTCAGTGCCCCAGGACAGGTTCCTGTGGGAGGGGATTTTGGGGATATGACAGGCTCCAGAAGGTGATGGAAAGCCACCAAGAAGAAGAGTTCATCTGACCACTGAGTGGAACGCCCTGTGCTTCTGGTACCAGATCTGGAACTCACAGACACAATCTCCTCACAAATGTACACTTGGGGCTATGACAATCTGCCATAGGACACTAGTTTTTACTCTGGAATCAAAAGACCTTGATGTTTTCCTCTTGGTATGTTCTAGGTAACCACAAGTCATCAGCCATAGCAGAATGGAAAAGTTTGCTTTCATCTGGAACTTTCTCTGCTCTTGAACCATGATTTGGGGACAGCAATGATGGCTTCATTGCAAACCAATTGTCCAGGCTCAGTTACAAGATCATTTGTCTTTTGGTGTTTGTGTCCCACAGTAATTGGGTAAATTCCACTCTCCCTTCAAAATGGAAACTTCCTCCCCCTAAGAGCCCCTGAGTTTGCCTCAGGGTCACTCACCTCATAGGACTCCTTGGTGGCCCTGCATTTCTCTATCTGGTACAGCTGGGTCTTGTAGCAGACGCTGTCCTGGATGTCGGTTTTCTAACGAGGAGGAAAGAATAAGATGTTCAGTTTAAGCCTCAGTCTCGGGAAATAGAAATGTCCATTAGGCAGTCATGAAATTTTAAACTGGTTCTTGGCTGACAAATGCCCCAAATGGCGGGCAAGCCAGGCAATTACAATGCAAAATCTCATCTCAGGATGCAGCAAGAGGGACAGCCCTGGACTTAGAATCTGGCAGTCTACCTCTGCTGTGGGCTCTGCAGCAAAGGGCCAGGTGACATCGGACTGGTCACGTTCTTTGCCGGGCCTCAGTCCTTTCATCTGTGCCATGGAGGCCACTCTAACACAGGAAAGCAGAAACCAATGGGTAATCTGGGAAGAACAGCCTACCTCATCCAATCACTAAGGAGGACATGGATCTTGCTTGTTTGCTCATTTTAAAACAGTACACAAACATACCACCCCAAAGAAAAGCCACAGCAATTCATAATAGAGGTTAAGGTGCTTCTGGTGACCTAAGATGGTAGACACACAATCCTGGCTGGAGACAGAGAAAATTAAGTGACTGGTTAATTAATGTATCAACCAACAAATCATTAATGAGTGTCCTTACAGGTTCTTCCACTTAAAACACATGTGTCTTGGTTTTAAAAAGAGTAAACCAAGAGAAATGACAAATAATTATGGAAGAATGTTTTACTTTTTAGCTCACGAGATTGGATTTCAAAATTATACATGAGTTGTTAGAAATTGGCTGATAAGATTAATAACTGGGACAGTGACTATAGTGCAATTAAATTAGCTATGTCTGGAAATTACTGAGCAGTCCAGCTGTAGTTATCTGTGGAGATTAATTCTCTCAAGGTAATTCACTCGCCTGGAGTTTGGATTCTCACCCCAGCTATGTTCTGTGATAAAAGACTGAAATGTAAAACAGACTCAGGAAAATAAAAACTTTCTCCAGTTCAAACCGTATCCAGGGGAGTTTCTGGGAAATGTTTTCCTTGCTTAGCTAAACAGCCCTTGAAACTCTGATGCTAGGCAAAGTGGAGGGGCAGAAAAAAAAAGCAAGACAAGCCAAGACACAGCCAAGGAGCTTCCAACACAGCATCTCCCATGCTTCAGATGACCTATATAAGTGTTTAAGAAGAGTGTGCATGATCAAAATTTCTATCTGTAGATGTGGAAAAAGTAAAAGGAAACTTTTAAAAATAAACCCTCTTCCTTACTTGGTTAAGCACCCAAAGAATTAGAATGTTTAAGTCTGTTACCTTAGGAAACTGGGAATGTCATTCAGTAATATGTGATACCATGAACTTTATAATAGGGTTAGTTTCATGAAAATACTTTTGAAGTTTTGAATAATGTTTATCATTTTAAAAAGAAAATGAGGGCCAGTGGAGTGGCTCAAGAGAAAGAACACCTGCCTAGCAAGCATAACAGCCTGAGTTTAATCCCTAGTATTGCAAAAGGAAGGAAGGAAGGAAGGAAGGAAAGAAAGAGAAAAGAAAAAAAAATGAGTTTATTAACTCTCTTTCCTTAATTGAGACCCATTTGAAAGCTTAATTTTTATCCTCTATAGCATGGTAGCCCAAATGGTATGACCTTGAACCCTATGAAAAAGTAGTCTGCAGGCACCAACTGTAACTGCATATTTATAAATTGTAATCATGTAGCACTGTGTTAATACAGCCTCTGTATTATAAAATACATAAAAGATAGAGTTTAAAAGGATAAGATCAGAAAGAAATTTGAAACATGTTGTCTTATAAAACAGCTTTAAATCCGCTATGTCTTTAAGTTGTCTGTGATGACAACAGAGAACTACTGGGTGGTACAGACATTTTCTTCATCTTCTCTTATCACATAATAATAGGTATAATGCATTGGTTTGAGTGTGACCCCCCAAAAGCTCATGGGCTAGAAGCCTGCTCCAAAGTTTGCAATGTTAAGAAGTGGTGGGTCCTTTAAGAGGCAGGGCCTGGTGCAAGATAATTAGGTGATCAGAGCATGGGCCTCAGATGGTCTTGCAGAGGGAGTTATAAAATGAGACCACTCCACGAACTTGGCCCTTCTGTATGTGTTATTTACCTATCCCTTTGTCTGCCGTGTTGTAACACAATGGGGGGGAGTGGTGCAAGCTGTCATCAGAGGTCAAAGAGAAGAGGATGCGTGATGTTGGACTTGCAGGCTCCAAAACTGCAGCTAAATTAAGCCTCTTTTCTTTGTGAAGTACCCTGCTGTGATGGTTAAACTTGATTGCCACCTTGACTGGATTGAGATGGCCTAAGAGATTAGTGAAGTACAGCTCAGGGTGTGTCTGTTGGGCGTTTCCAGAAAGGATTAACCAAGGAAGAAGACCCGCCCTAAATATGACAAGCATCATCCCATATGCTAGGGACCCAGATGGAATAAAAGGGGTAAAGGAGAAAGTCCACTAGTGCTACCACAGGCAAACAGGCATTCTTGCTCTCTGTCTCTCTCTGTCTCTCTCTGTCTCTCTCTCTCTCTCTCTCTCTCTCTCTCTCTCTCTCTGTCCACCATGAGGTCATAGCTTCTGCCGTATGCTCCAACCACAGTAATGTTCTGCCTCACCAAGGGTCCAGAGTCAACAGAGCCAAGCACTATGAACTGAAACCGTGAGACAAAAATAACTAATTCCTACCTTCAAGTTGTTCCCTCAGGTATTTTGATCACAGCTAAGGGAAGCTAACATGTCAGCCTCAGGCATTTTGTTACAGCAATAGAAAATGGACCAATACATACACTATGTGTCAAAAGTCCTGTGTTTCTGGGTGTGACAGTTCTCCTTCAGTAGCTTTCCTATGAGTGATGCAGCCACAGTGAAACCTCTCTGAAATGTAACCTCAAAACTATGAATCTGCCCCCATCGGAAATACCACGTCATCACTGCTTACCCAGAGTATTTTTCCTCCCATAAACATTCTTACTGAAAAGCCTGTTGCTATTGACAGTGTTTCTGCTCATGTACATCCTTCCTCTGCTAGTTCATCAGATTAAAAAAAAAAGTTCTGTGGATAATTTCCTATGGAAGCAAAAGCTAGCAAATGTTCTCAGCTGAATCAGCTCAGAAACATCTGTACTTTCCAACTGTTTAACAAACTTCTTGTCAAGTTTCTTAATCTATTGAGCAATGTTTTCTAACTGTTAACAAGTGACACACTCCGACTATGCTATTATACTGCTTATTTTTGCTATGGCAGAGTGAGTATCATTTCTCCAAATGCAGGTGGACTTTTCTTTTTTGTTCTTCTATAGAAACCTCAAAAAGGATTTCTAAACCTATTGCTTGGTGAAGTTTTGTGACATATTGAGCTATCACTTGACTTTAAATAGCACCAAAAAAACTCCAAAGGTTTGTTTTTACCATCTAAATTCAAAATGTCTTCCTAACAGAGACAACTATGCATCGTGGGATCTCAAGGTGTCATATAAAAAGGTCACTGAATACTCGACTGAACATCAGATGTGCTGCCTGCCACCTAACTTCCTGTTAGAGCTGGTCTGTGCTCACATGCTGGGGAGAAGCAGGAGTAGCTGTGTGCAGAACTTCATGCTGTTCTGAATCTACTTCTCTTTGTGGAATTCTTTCCTAAGTCATTATCCATTTGGAGATGGATGACTCAGTCAACACTAGAAACTGAAGTGTGTCAATGTCCTTTCCCAGGCACATATGAACTACTTGTGACCAAAAAGATGAAGGGGATCAAGATGTTGGGGGTCCACATAGTGGTCCTCCCAATGGCACCTCATCTGTAACACAATACACTTGGACTTTCTGATGCCCAAACTGTGACGGTGCCAGGTTCAAGCTAGTGAAGCTCAATTTTCTGGAAAAATAAATGTAAACACCATCATCCCTTGATATCCTTGGGTGATTGGCTCCAGGAAACCCATGGATACCAAGTTCACGGATGCTCAAGACCCTTATTAAAAATGGTAGAGCATTTGCATATAAACAATGCATGTCCCCATAACAGACTTTAAATCTCTGACTACCTTTAATATCTAATACAACATAAATGCTTTAAGTAGTTTAGGGAATAGTGACAAGAAAAAAACTGGTACATGTCCAGTTCAGATGCAATTTTTTTTTTAAATATTTTTGATCTGTTGTTGGTTGAATCAGGGATATGAAACTCTCAGATACAGAGGACTGGCTGCAGTGGCTTTCTCAAACACCACACTTTAGAGATGAGTGTCTACCTGTAAGCTGCTGCTCCCCAACTTTTAAGAGCAGAGAAGCCCCCAAAGTCCCTAATGTGAGGAACCCAAAGAGCTAGAAGGTGGCAGAACAAAACCAGGCAACTGAGAAGTTGAAGGAAAATGAAACTTGGGCTGTCTAGGGCTTAATTCTAGAGGGGACCATTTGAAAAACATCCCAGAAAGCACTACCTGAGAAGCAGGTTTGGCTACTACTTCACCCCATCTCACATTAGGTTAAATTATCAGCCTGGATTAAGTGTCAGCAACTGGGCAAACAGGACAGAAGAAACCTCCTCAAAGGGCTTACTCCTGACAAGTAGCGCTCGAGTTTCTTGTTTAAGAGGAAGTAGATGGCGAGGATGTGGCAGGCGCGGTTGGACAGCACGGTGTTGATCACATCACTGTTTTTGTAGCCCAGCTTCTCAGTCATGTGCAGCACCACACTTGGGCTCAGGTCTTCCAGAGAAATCCTGCAAGGTGGAGACACAGAGAACCAGTCACCTCGCCAGCTTCATAGACAGGCTCACAAATATGGCAGCACACAGTTACCCACACAGGCCCCCAGTGGACAGTTGGGTTTACCCATTCGCTTTTCTGTTCATCATGAAAAATGTACACTGAAAGGTGGAAGAAACAGTACACAGTCAACCCAGCCCCCATATCCATGGGTCCCCATCCCCAGAATTCAACCAACCTCAGATGGAAAATATTTTTTAAAAACTGTATCTGCACTGAACATGTAAAGACTTCTTCTTGTCATTATTCCCTAAACAATAAAGCATAACAACTATTTATAGGTGTTATACGTAATCTAGAAGTGATTTAAAGTAAGGAGGAGGATGTGCACAGGTTCTGTGCAAAGTACTACGCCACTTTATGTCAGGGACTTGAGGACTTGTGAATTTTGGTATCCTTGGAGGTTTCTTGGAAACCACCTCCCACAGGTACCAAGTGGAAACTGTAATCACCTTGTGTACTGACATCTGGACGTACCAATGAACACTTGGCCATCTATTTTTTCACTAAAGTATTTTAAATTATAGACATCATGACATTTTACTTCTAATGCACATTTCAGCATGCATTTTTAAAGCCCAAAAACATCCTCTACAGAAGCGACTCATAAGAAAATTGTAATAAGCCCTTAATACAGCAATATCCCAATTACAGTCCAATTCCCCAACCATGCCCCAAATCCTTACAGTTAGACATTCTCTCCACAAAATGTCATTCTTGGCTGTCGGTGGAGCTCACATGTCACTTGTCTTTGGGTGACAGGTGTTCAGAAAGGAAGGTGTTCAGAAACTAGTCAGCTCCGATTAGGGACCAGAGATTGCTCACAAGTTCACACTTGGGAAGCCTGAAGCTCAGCAGCAAAGTGGGCAGTGTCAGAGAAAGAGAGGCTGAAGTTTCTTCACAGGAGTGCTGTGAAGATAAACTTCTTGGGCTAAAATACCAAAGAAATAACTCAACATTCATTTACACACTCATCCATTCACCCTGCCTGGTGAAGCTGATGTTCAAGGGGGGAAGAGATAATACAAATCCACTCAGTCCTCCTGACAGCCCTGTGACAGGTACTGTCCTTATCCCCATTTTATGGACGGAGAAACTGAGGCCCACAGTGGTGAAGGGACTTTCTCAGGGAGGAAGTGGGAGTCCCAGAATGAAAACCCATGCAGCCTGGCTGAGTCTGGACACAACCTGTGCACTCAGTGTCACCCGAAAGACAAGGGAATGGCTGCAGAGAACAAGAATCAGGCTGAATGTGCACTGGTGATGGGGTACACCTTGGGATAGGACATGGAAATTCCTTAAGACAGACCCTAACAGGGTGCTTTGCGAGAGCAAGCATGTCGGCTGGAGACCTCTGGAGCCACCACCACAGAGTCTGAAGATTTTCAGACCTCAGAACCAGAAGGTCCAGAGAAACCTCACAGTGTGGCCCGCAATGGTACAGAAGAGGAGCCTGGCTTGTCCAGTACGTGTGGCAGGTTGGGGGGGGGGGCAAAGGTCAAACTAAGGATCCTGACCATCACCCACCTACATGGCAGCTCGTATCAGCTCTCCCTCCACTACACTGGACAAGTGCGGTCCAAGGAGAAACCGCAATCAGCCTTCCTCACTCCTGTTTGCCACAAGATTACAAATTCTAGATAATGAGTAGAACAGAATACATGTTTGGGGTTTTTTGTTCTTTGTTTTTTAAGGAACACATGGCTTGGAGTGCAGCTTAGTGCTTGTGTAACATGCAGGAGGCTCTGGGTTTCATCCTTCCTTCCTTCCTTCCTTCCTTCCTTCCTTCCTTCCTTCCTTCCTTCCTTCCTTCCCTCCCTCCCTCCCTCCCTCCCTCATCCTTCCTTCCCTCCCTCCTTCCTTCTTTCCCTTCCTCCATCCCTTCCTTCTTTCCCTCCCTCTTCCCTCCCTCCCTTTCTTCCTTCCTTCCCTCCCTGCCTCCTTCCATTCCTTCCTACTTACTTAGGATTGAATGCAGGGTCTTGGGCTTTAGTGCTCTACCACTCAAGCCACACACCCCAGCCCTACAATTCCTTGAATTACAACTACACTTGCCAAAGCATCTAATACATGAGGGCATGGCTGTTTGAAAATCTCTGGAACCACCAATGTGGGTGTAGCCCAGCCTGGCCAATCAGACTCCATCTGTAACCCCAGGGCTGGCCAATTAAATCACAGCCAAATTTGCATGGTCCTCCCTGCTGTCTATAACAAGTGCCTCAGAGGGGATGGAAGAGTGTAGGGTGCCACCATGGCAGGGGGATGGAGGTAAGAGGAGGGACAGAGCAGAGGCAGCCATCCCATCTCTGTCCTTTGTGTCTATTGTCTTCAAAACCAGGAGAACCAGCCCTGCCAAAATGTAGGCTGTCAACTGACTCTTGACTGAGTGTAATACATATTCTAAACATTTTCCAATAAATAATTTGGTGCTCTCCAATATGTTATTGAATTTATATTATACCTGCATGATACAGGAAATGGTAAAGTGATCCAAAACATGAGGTATAATTTGAACTAAGTAAATTCACATGAAATCCATTTTTATACCATTTTGGTCTAATTCTGTCCTGCATTACCTGAAACCTCCTTTCCTTCCACCCATCTCCAGAGCTAACTGGAGGGCTGGGGCACTGTCCAGGCTCTACAGGGAGACAGAAAGAAGTAGGAACACCAGCTGTCAAAATATTTGAGCCGAGGAAAACCAACCAGGTACCCAGCAAACATCTCTTAACTGACTGGCATGAACATTCATTATACAAATTTTAATTCTAATGTTATTTCATCTTGCCTTTTCGAAGATCAATTTGGAGATTCAGACGACTTCATAGAAGAAATCTTTATAAAAGAGTGGGGAAGCTTGGGGTCTTTGTTTTCGTTACTTTCTCAAAGGGAAAACATTGACAACGTTTAAAATTATTAAATCTAGGGCTAGGACTTTTGGGAAATTATAAAACATACTTTATAAAGAAAATATTCCTTTCTTTGCTTGCATGTTCTTTCTTCTTTTATCTAGGTGCTGGTAAAACCAGAAATATAATTATCAAAAAATACATTTTTGCCTTAAAGAGAAATGCTTTTCAAAATTAAGACTGTAAATAACATGTACCTCCTCCAGAAGCTTAGAATTCTGGCTTCCTGTCTTAAAAACCAAACACGGACTTGTCTCTGGATATCTATGACTTACATAAACAGAAGACATTGAGCGGCTGTTTTCTCTAATACACAAGACCTTCCCCATTTTTACAATCTATCTAACTAGTTCTACGTTTAGTTTTTCTGTTTCTGACCAAGTTCAAGTGCAATCTGGCAAAAAAAAAAAAAAAGTATAGGAGACTGAATTTTAAGTTTTGACCTCTGAAGCGTGTCTACCAGCTGTGGAAGTCTAAGAACTGACACAACACATCATGCCTCTGCCAACGGAGACGTGGCCAATGGTGGTGGCAGGGCGTGGGGTAACCGTATTTCTAACACCAGCTCTACCACCTCCCACGGCTGCCATGTTGAATGGGTTGATTATGCTCATTTAGGTGGCGACTACATTAGCGTAATGACCCTGGCTGCCACAGGCCCCTCCCTTAACAGAAAGCAAACCCCCGTGCTACTTGTCGTTGGTAATGAGGGTGGGCCCTCGGCTCTATTTCCTATCTCATGTTGGGATAATATTTCTGGTATCTATTTCAGAAACTGGCCCAAATTGAGCAGGTGTTGGAAAACAGCATCTATTTCCAAGTTCCCTTGGTAACCTAAGTAATCTAGACTTTGTCTAAATTACCACCCATGAGCCAAATGCTAGAATTCTAGCTGGCAGCTGAGCAAAAGCATCCTCTCCAAGGCCCACAGGAGGGTGAATTTGGCCCAGGAGCACAGACACAGATTCCAGGAATGTCCACCCTTGCCCCTTTAAGTTCTTCTAGAACTTCCACTCACAGACAGAGCTCTGCTTTGATAAGGCTTGGTGGATATTTCTAGAACTTCCTGGAATATTCTGGAGCTATGACCACAAAGGACACAGCTCTTCTCTACCCTTTCAGTCTCCCATCTTCCTTTTGATCAGTGGTTCTCTGGTCCTCATCCAATCTTGGCTGGATATGCAGGCCTCTGTAGGTCTAAAGGAAAGAGGAAGGGGGACCCAGTCCTGGAAGGTGCTGGATGCAGCCAAGGGGGGACCCTCGTTCCCTTACTCAATTTGGCTAACAGTACGACAAATGAAGGGGGAAAACACACAAGGAAATGCTTTCTTATACTTGTTTTCAAATCTGTAGTCAGTATCCCAGCGTGGAGAAGTGTGGCCACGTGCAGTGTCCCCATACTGTGGGTTCTGTCTGCAACCCTCCCTCCTAGGTCCCTTCTCTTGGACACTGGTAGGCCAAGCCCTCGCAGGAAGTTCACAGGGAAGCCCAGTCAGGAGCAAATGATGGGATCCCCTTTGCCTCTCACTGCCCTTTAAGCACTTTAAGGCAGGAAACTTGGGGCTGAAAGAAACATCTAGAACCAAACAGAAGAAGAATCTACCGGGTGGTTTGAAAGAGTCAATTCCACAGCCCTCATGCCTAATGTTGGTAGGCTCTTGAGTGAGTCACACAGACATACACACCCATAAACACACAAACACACATTTATACATAGATCCAGGCAGACACACACATGGTCACAAACACAAACCACCCACGCTCAGGCCACAGTTTCTCTAAATGATCCCGTTGTGGGGAAAAGTGCCCATGGGGCAGATGCAGCATTTCAGAGCAAGACTTGGCAAGGGATTTCAGCCTCCACTCAGCCCTCAGCCAGGTGCCCCCTTCAGGGCACACTTCCCACCCTTTCTCTTGGGCACTGAACTGCGTTGGTATGATGTGTGGCTGCAGAGGCAGGGAAGGACAGACAAGAAAGAATATAGCTTTGTCTTGAATCAGGCAGTTTCCTATCCAAAATTATTCAGGGCTCAGAGGGCAGGCCCCATCTTACCTGAGAAAGAGTCCCTCTGTGTGCACTAAATTACCTGTTGGGATAGGTGACATTACAGGGCACTTTGCCTGTGTAATTCTCATTCAGCCAGCGATTCGCCAGTGCTTGCTGAATATTTGGCCTCTTCACAGGATCTGGTTCCAGGAGGGAGCGCAGGAAGTTGATGGCCCCTGGAAGACATTTGGCAAAGAACACACACACCCATGTTATAGACTGAACACAAGTGCAGACGCTGCAGGCAGTCACGGAGAGTGACCCCGCTGCCCTACCTGCCCCTCCTGAGCCTCTGCTGTGGTGATCTATTCTCTGTGTGTCTGGTCTGGATGGGGCTTCGAGTCAGTGATTCATCGAGTGTGAATTTAGCTCAACTCCCTCCAGACAGGTGGGGTTTTAAGCCTTATTTTTTCTCTTTTTCTAAAAAGAGGTACTGCATATACAAAGTGCTTAAGGTATGTGTCCTGGAAATATAACTGGTCTCCCAGGCCAGGTACTTCCCAGTACAACCTGGGGTCTTGTCTTGTTACTTAGAGATAAGCCAAAGAGATGAACTATTTACACACTGGTAGGAAGAAAGACAAAAAACAGAAAATGCCTGCTCCCAAAGTGGGCAGCTGAACACTCAGGAAGAAGCCAAAAGGATTAAGGCATTCGAATTAGACTTTGGACCTTGGCCTCTACGTGGGATACCATGTCCAGAAGGCTCTTTCTGGTCCATTCTTTTAAAGTCATTCTCCATTGCTGCCCACTTCTTCCTGGAACTCTGTGAACAGCTGCTGTAGTACCAAACAGACAGAGCCCAGGTCCACCAAGTCAAGCAGATCAGGCTCACGTGACACTAGAGAGTCATGTGTTTTTGTTAGCGTTAGGTAAACTATGTAATAGTGACTCAGGTCTTAAAATCCTAGTTTGTGTACAAAGTTCTAGCAAGCCCCACATTGCAAACCCATGTCTGCAGTGGGCTTCCCATCTCTGTGCTGTCCCTCAGACTGGAGAGTGACTGGACACAGAGTAATTGATTTTGTCCTTATCTTTTAGCCTGAAGAGTTAGGGCAGTGATGTCAGTCATGCTCAGCATGGTGTATAAAGAAGGATAAGAGAAACCACTGACAAAACTATGAAATACCAATAATACCTTTTCAAAAGTCATTTTTTTAAATGTTCTGGGTCTCCTAGTAAACAAACATTTACAGCTCACCTGCTGTCTACCCAAGAACCAGAGACAGGGAGCTAGTTCATCTGGAAACAGAATATTTGCATCCTTTAAGACTATAACAAGAGAAGCTGGTCATCCCTGGCTCATGCCTACAATCCTAGCTACCTTGGGAGGCTGAGATTCGGAGGATCAGGGCTCAAGGTCAGGCCAGGCAAATAGTTTGAGGGACTCCATTTCCAAAATAACCAGAGCAATAGGCTGGATGTGTGGCTCAAGTATTAGCGCTTTCAGACACAAAGCCTTGAGTTCAAACTCCAATCCCATCAAAAAAAAAAAAAAAAAGAAAGATTATAAGAAGGGAGACAATTGTAGAACATGTAAAATTACAAGCATGAAGGTCACAGGCTACAGAATATCATCTACACACAGACAGAAAATTCCAGGGATTCCATCAAAATGAAGATATTCTTTCTTGCTTGAGTTCTGGCACTGTCGTATTTTCTTATTCTATATTCCTCATTTTGTAGAAGGCTATTAAAACATCTTGCAATATAAAAACATTCTTTCATATAGCTTTGTACATGGCATCCAATTTCCAATGTAACAAATAGTAAGTCCTGGAAGATAATCTTAATTTGGCTTGAGTCCAAACTTTTCTATCCTTTTCTCCAAAGCTAGTTTATGGTTTTGTAAGAGAATCTAGCTTTCTGAGAAAAACTTCTAAAAATTTTCACTTTCTTATTGGGTTTAAATTGTCATTTTAATATTGTTTTTAAAAGAATGATGGGGGGGCTGCAGATATGGTAGTATATACTGTAATCACAACTACCTGGGAGACAGAGGTAGGAGGACTGTGGAAAAGGTCAGCCAAGGCAAGGTTAGTACAAGACCATATCTGAAAAAAAAAAAACTAAACTAAAAGCAAAGAACTGGGGACTTGGTTCAAGTGGGAGAATGTCTGCCTACCAAGCTCAAGCTCATAAGGCCCTGAGTTCGATCTCCAGTACTACAAAAAAAAAAAAAAATAGAGGAGCCAGTTATGAAGCCTGAATCGACTCCAGAGAGACAATCCTTGCTAGGTCATGCAAGGAAGTAATTCTTCCAGGGAAGGTCCGCAGGCAGCTAATGAGGTCATAGAAGGTTATCTCCCTATTAGAATATAGTGGACAAAAACGTGTACCAAGGTCATCACAGTCATGAGGTACCTTTAGTACTCTAAGTTTTATAGCTAGGTCTCCAAATAAAACTTCCCTAAAATATTCTCCAATGGAACAGAAAATAAACTGATCTCCCAAGGCAAAGGTTCCTGGATTTGGAACTTCTATGTCCCTTCCCTTAACACCTTGATATTGCAAGAGTCACTTGGATCTTAAGTAAGGGTATCTACTGTGTAAAGGAAAAAGATGTGGGCTTAATGAATCAGACTGGGGTGGCTGCTGCATTAGGTCTTTCCTGAGACTTCTCTGTTGCTCACTCTCCAAAGACCTGAACCACTACCCAGGACCAGGCCTTTCTGGAGATGATTAACCAGAAGGGCTAAAGATAAACTGGATGTATGTTTTTGTTCTATTTTCACAACCAAGCCTCTGTGTCTTCACAAATTGCTGATGAGCACAAATAATTTTAGTTCAAGTCTCTGCTGATGAATTTGATATCTGTGGATATCACAAACATTGCATTACTATTCTGAAGGGACTTTGAGAACATCCTTAGTTTGCAGTAGTCTTGAAAGTCCCTATGTCTTTGGGACAAAAGAGACTAAAGCACTCCCCACTATCCCAGAAGGTCCTGCCTAGCATGGTCACACATCACCCTCTACCTCTCTGAGCTAATCCTTGACCTGTCCATTCCAGCTGGGAGGGCCGGGATGAGGCCACGTGGGGTGCTACGTCATCTTCAACCTAACACAAGGTACACACTGCAGTGGTGCAAGCTGTCAGCTTCCCAAGTCTGGGCTTGCTTGTATGAGACTTGACGCCATGCCCAGGGCAAGAGCTGCAGGTGAAAGATGAAGCCATCAGTCCACTGGGTACAAGTGGAGGCCCATTCCTGCTGGAGCCTGCATACTCATTACCTCCCACCAACAGAATTCTTTGAGTCTGATAGCTAACCCTTCGTGAAAGCCCTGGCTCAACCGTTCCCAATGCTAGGACTTCTTCAGCTTACTTCACTTGACCTCATCTTAATTGCAAGTGACTCCTTGGAATGTCTTGTAGGTACGATCGTTGAGATACAGTGATGAAAGAGCAAACATCTGAAAAATCTCCAAGCCTTGAAAGACATTCATGACTCGGTGACATACAAGTGCCAACTTGCAGAAAGAGGAAACTGTCTTCCACAGAACAGAGAACTGGAGAGACTCTCAGAGCTTCCATTTTCCAACTATATGACCCAAACAAGGGACAATTTTCTGGAAACACGTTCTATCCACAAGGGCAATAATGCTAGATTTTCTTCCACTCAAATTTACTAAAACTTCTTTGAACTTAGTCTAAACAAGCACTAAGATATAACTGATATAATCATTACAAATAGGACTGATTGAATCATTAAATTAATAAAGATGTGTTAGTGAGATAGAGTAAAGTTGGCATCTTTTCAATTTGGACTGACATTACTCAAAACACAAGGACCTAAAGCCAACAGATAATACTCCCAAATTGGGGGTAGGGAGTATCTTATACTCAATAAAATAAAGGGAGAGAAGTAGCACGGTACAGTAGGAAAATTCAAGGTTTTAGTCAAGCAGACTTAATCCTTCCAAGACTTAATCCTTCCAAGACTCAGTTACCCACTGGTAAACTGAGAGCAAGGGTACTTACCTGCATGGTTGCACAGAAACAAGACAACATGAGAAACAGCTACACGTAGTCGTTCAAGAAATGCAGCTTCTCTCGTTACTGGTAAAGCACTACTATTTTTGGATGTAAGCAGACCCTATCATAAGGGAATATAAAGGTGGACTAGGCTGATTAGAAGGGAAGAGATAAGCTTAGTGAGGTACAAAGAGTTAGGGTGTTCAGAAGGGTAGCAGCTGATCCCAAACCCTGAAATCATTCTGACTATAAACAAGATATGATGTCCTGGGCCACCATAGCAGCTGGCACACAGCTCTGGCTCCTCCTACGTGAGGCCAATTCCCAACCCTGGGTAATGAAATGAATCGATGGGCAGCCTTCCCAGGCCACACACACACTTTAACAGCAGAGTCAGCAGCATAGATTCCCTGGGCATTGATCGTGTGCAAACACTACACTCCATACCTGGCATAGAGGATTATGAAGTTCTAAATGAGGAGAGATATTTATATATCCCACTAGTTAAGGGGCAGATTCCTTAATTGGAAAAATCAGATCTAGAAATGCAATTCATGCTTGACAAGTCAAAACAAGGAAGTCTGTAGGAGTGTGATGATCTTAACAAACACACAGAGTGAGGCCAAAGTTTAAGCTCTCTGCTCAGACCAGGAGCTATGTGAAGTCAGACACCAACTCCAGGGGTGCTGAAATTGTGTGCAATATTTTTACCACTCCTTCTCTGCAATGACCTTTGGACTACTGCCTAAAATTTTAAGGCACCCATATTTTACTTCTTCAAGAATAAATTTAATTTTCCCAATAGAGAAAGAGAGCCCAGCTTGCAGAGGATGGGTAAGATTATTTGGAGTAAAAAATAAGGTATGGCTCTGAAGTGATAAGACTGACTTTCTTGTATTATTAACTTACCCACTGTGCTTGACTGCCCAACCCAGGCTCGTGAGAAATGCAGAGCACATTGTCTGATCCTCCTACCACATGTTAGAGCCATTCATAAATCTGTTCTCAAATATCACAAATCCTTTTCATATACATGGTAGGGCATTGAGAGCTTTCTCGAGCTCTGTTCTACCAGTCTAACTGGGGGAGACTGGAGATGCAGAAAGAACAAAGGATAGAAGACAGACATGCAGAAAGTTGGGGTCAGGTGTGCTGGGCGCTCAGATGGAGACGCACAACAGCCTCTTCACTTCTTTTCTCTGTTAACTCTTCTTTTACTTTGCTTCTTTTCTTCTCTATTCTTTAAGGCCTTACTTCTTTACTATTCTTTAAAACCTTGCTTCTTTTCTATTCTTTAAAGTCTCCTTCCTTAGACTCATACTTTCCCATGTTCCCTTTAATCTCTCTTAAAATCTTGGCCCTCAGACTTGCACTGTCCTGTGTTCTCTCTTAAAGTCTTGGTCCTCAGACTCGCAGACCCAGAACAGCCAGCAGGAGCATCATTCTTGCAAGCATCCCACCTCACAAGCCACCCCCCCAACCTCCCCCTCCACCCCCTACCCCTACAGTAGCTTCCACCCCTCTCCAGCAGCCAATCAATCAATCCATCCTTTAATCCAATCCCATCAATCCTCCGAGTCCTCCTTCAGGGAGTCTTTTATAAACAAGGAGGTGGAGAAACACAGCTGTGCTGCATTTTGCTCTCTTCTGTGGCTGGGGCTGTGCCAAACTGAGCCTGCTGATTATTGGGCACAGCTGTGCTTATGTCAAGTTTTCACAGGCTTCTCATAATCCACTCCCCACAGTAGGGCTGCATGATCCATCTCTATTACTCGAGGGAAGCTGTGTGCCATGTTTTAGAAAGCTAAGAGATGGAGTTGGAGATTTCAATACTGGTGAGAGACCTCCTCTTTCTCTTTCTCTTCTTTCTTCCACATGGATCAACAATGTTGGGATGATGACTGTTCCATCATCCTGGGGCCCTGGGATGGGCAGAACCCTTTAATCCTGTATCCAATGTACAATCAAACATAGCATGAGAAAGAAGTAAACTTTTGTAGTCTCAAACCACTAAGCATTGGGGGCTAATTGTTACTGCAACTCAACCCAGCTGGTCCTGACTAATACAAATGAGAAGGCAACAGACCAGCCATTCTCCAGCTTCTTGCAGTCGTGGTAGGATTAACAGTGAACACTGTTTGCCTTTTTCAGGTATGCAGGCATAAATATTCTACTTTCCTAAGTGATGGGTCATTTAGGCCACAACAGAATCACTGAGAGATGGCAATATTTAGGACTATCTAAAGCTGCTACAAGTGTAATTTGCCAGAGGGGATACCAAATGGCACAGCCACTCTGAACATGAGTATGGTAACTTTCTGCGAAACTACATATGTGCTTACCATTTGACCCAGAAATTTCACTTTTAGGCATTTGTCCCTGAGAAATGAAACCACGTTCATAAAAATGCCTGCACATGAATGGTCACAGCAGTTTTATTCATCGTAACTCCAAACTCGAGACAACCCAATGATCCTTCAATGGGTAAATAGTTAAACAAACTATGCTATATCTATACCATGGAATACCAGTCAACAATAAAGAGAGACAAAGTCCTGAGGCACACAAGAACTTGGATGGATCTCACGGGAATTATGGTGAATGAAACAAGCCATTTACATATGTTTTCTATCTTTATAATTTTGACATTTCAAAAATGCTATAGAGCTGGACCCTGATGGCTCATGCCTATAAATTCTAGCTGCTTGAGAGGCTGAGGTTGGGAGGATCACATTTTGAGGCCATCCAGGAAAAGGAAAATAATACACAAGACCCCATCTCCAAAATAACCAGAGCAAAATAGACTGGAGATGTGGCTCAAGTGCTAGGGTGTCTGCTTTGCAAGCACAACGTCCTGAGTTCAAACCCCAGTTCCACTCCCCACCAAAAAAAAAAATGCTATAGAGATAGTGGCAAGTAGATGTTAGGGGGAGTGGAGAGCAGGCGTGGCTATGGCTAGAGAGGTAAAGCACAAGGGAGTCTTGTGGTAGAACTGTACCTTGACCACATGTGACAGAATTGCATAGAACTAAACACAACCCACACACAGAGTTAGTCCATGTTAATTTTCTAATGGTGATCAGACCACAGTTATACAAGATACTACCACTGGGGAAAATGGGATGAAGACAGATACATGGATATCTCTCTATTATCTCTTACAGCTATGTGTACATCTACAGAATTGTCAAGTGAGTTTTTAAAATTTCTTTTGTTTTATTTTATTTTGTTTAGACAGGGTCTTGCTATGTAGCCCAGGTTGGTCTCCAACTCACCATTCTCCTAACTCCACCTTCCAAGTGCTGTGATTACAGGTGTGTGCCTACACACACCCCTCCCCAAAATAACCCATCTTATTTGTTAAAAAAAAAAAAAACTATGTTTACTTTCTATCCCTTACTCTGACTTATTTTATTTTATTTAGAACACTCACACTACCAACTACCTGACAATGTTTATTTTTTGCCTTTCCCATTACCTATAAGCTCTACAAGAGTAGAGACCATGGCTGGCTTGTCCCCTGTCTCCCTGGCTCCTAGAACACATCCAGTACATGACTGGTTGTTCACGGAATACGTGAATCAATATGAAATACGGATGAATGAATGAATGGAACCTCCTCACAGTGCTTTGCAGCACTTCCAATACTTCTGACAGCCCTAAAGCCTAAATATAAGAATTCCTTCAACATTTTACAAATTTTCTAACTCTAAGAGTTATGGCTCTCAGGGCAGAACTATCTCACTTAGGAGACAGAACTGTATCAGATCTTTCAAGGACATGTCTCCCTTGCCTTCAGACTCCAGAGCCCACCCTCCCTCACAAAGGTGAACGTATGGCCAGAAGTAGATAATTACATACAAGAACTCATTCCAGCTTGGACTCCATGGAAAAGCATAAACTTGGGGTCTGCTTCATGGTTGCTTTTCTACTCAAGAGAAAAATACCTAACAATGTTGGAGTGAAATGCTATATTTTAACCATGTGCCAGGAACTGAAGCTAAATAATCTATCTTTTTTTTTTTTTTGGTCAAAAGTCTCATCTCAGTGAAGCTGAGTTCATTCTAAGATGACAATTAAATGATCATCAGAGCCAAGCTCCGGCCAGAAACTTGATGTGAATAAGGAACCAAACAAAAGATCAAATTCAACTAACTCACCACATCTGAAAGCAAACCTCGGCACACTCTGTTTACTGAAATGTAAAGCCACTCCAGAGCACTTCTCAAACACACCTGATGGTTTCTGTCTAACGAAGCCACTGAACCTATAGACATGTAAAAGCTTTTGCATAGGTTCAAAAACTCATACAACAAAACAAATCACAGATCCAACTTGAATGAAACGAGTATTTCTTTACAGTGGACTGACTAAAGAAAATACAATAGATGTGTGATTATAAACCCTGTTCTCCCAGCCGGCACTGTAATAGGGTGAGTTTTAAAACAATTAAGGCAGCAATAGAAAGCCCTTTTGTAATGTATTTTGTGCAGAAGGAGGAAGTTAGGGTTGTGGAATTACCATGGAAAAAGAAAGGACGCAGGTGAGATGATAAAGATGGAAACCCAACTGACATTTGAACCACAGGAAGAAATGGAGTCATGAGACAGTCACAGTAACATTGCTGCAAAACCAAATACTGCTTCATAAATGAACCCAACTGGTCAGAACAAAGAGGCTGAAAGCCTGAATCCGGAGCAACAGGTACATTACCTGTGGAGAGCTGGGTGGGGAGAGGGTTCATTTCTTTGTCCACCATCTTCTGGTACAAAGCCCTCAGGCTGAAAGGCTCCACTGTGAAAGGCAGCGTCCCAGTCAACATAGCATACATGTTCACACCTCTGAAAAGAGACACACCAAACCATGAGACCAGAAAGAAGCCCCAGGGTGGGGAGGACAAGGAGAACACAGGCTCAGCTGAAACTTCGGTGCTGCGCCGACCCCACCAGGCCTCCTTCTGAGGCATCTTCCTAGCGCCTCAGTATCATGGTGAGGCACTGACGTCGAAAGGCTGGATGAGGACATGTAATGGTTAGACTTCACATGGCAGACTCAGAGATAAGCAGGAGCAAAAAGGGCTTCCAGAGCTAGGTACTCACAGGGGGAAGCTGTGCCCCTTTCCTCTCTCTGAATTGTGAAAATTCACAAATTCTGAGAATCTCTGAGCCACAGGGGCAAATCCACCTCTGACCTCAAACAGAGGTCAAACACAGGCACGGAAAGTGCTGTATAAAATTACCTTCAGGCCACGTGTATAACGTGTGCATCAATCAATTTTGTAATGAGACTTAGCTTCCCTCCACAAGATATTTCATGTATACGCAAATATTCCAAAATCTGAAAAATTCAAAACAATTTTGGTCCCAGGCATTTTGATTAAGAGAGACTCAACTTGTAGTTGAAAAAAGTCAAAGGAATTCCAGGCTGAGTTATACGAAAAATGCCTGGAGTTCGCCAGGAGCCTCAAGTAAGAGTGACCCTGTCACTATGTGGTTTTCCAGGTCTGGTTTATGAGGAAGAACAGGAAAGAGGTCAGACCAGAAGACACGGAGCAAGACCCACCTAGGAGGACCAGACCCAGGCCAACCTGTCCAGCAGGTGACTACTTAGCCCTTTGAAACCAAAGCCTCACACCAAAAACCAGTTTGTTCTGCTCTTTTCTTAAATTCTGTTCTGGCTTGTCACCAGAGAAATTCCTTCTCTCCCTTATTGCTTATTTTATTATTTATTGTGAGACTCGCCATTCAGCCCTGGTCTAATACTGCAGGTGTTGTTGAGAAAACTTCTGAGTGGGTTTAACTGCTTATATCCAAGGCTGATTTAGAAAACAGTGAAGTCTTCCTAGAAGATTTTATTTTCCTGATGTGCAAACCTACTATCGTTTGGAAGAGCTTTCCTGATGGAGGTGAAATGCCTTCCTGCCAAGAGGTCGCCATGTTCAAAAGTACCCAGGGGAATATGTTTTTAAAATAGGCAATAGGATTTCCAGTCAAAACAAATCCAATGAGACTGATTGAAGTTAAGACTTTGAATCCACTTTTAATCTGAATTGTGGTATTCTAGACAATGACAGGTACTGGAGCTCAGAGACTCTGGCTTAAATCATTCTCAAATTTCAGACATAGGCTAAGACCAGCTCCCTCCCTGAACTCACAGATACAAAAACATTCATTCCACAAATACTAGCTGGATGCCTTTCTGACCCACACAGGGTTATAAGTACTGAGTACCAAGATGGGGACCTTCACCTTGGATTTAAAGTTGGGGAGAAACAGGCAATGAGCAAATATACAAATAAATAAGCACCACTCCTTTCAAATGATAATGAGTACAAAAGGAATAAGAAAATGCTGAATGAAGGATGCCAAAGAACTCTAAACAAGCACCTGAAGATGGGAAGGCCTCTCGGGTGTGAGTATTGTGCATATGAACTTATGTGTCTTTGGCTGTCTGGATCTGAGAATGAAGGGATGAACTGTATTAATAAGAAATATAAAAGTGCACGAAGAGCTGATTAGAGCACCAGTTCTCAGTGTGTGTTTAGTGGAGAACATCCCCAGGACACAGGTAGACGTGAAGTGAGCAACAGTTCTAAGGCCAAATGAGTTGGGAAATACTCGTCTCATAGAAGTGGATGGAAAGGGCTCAGAAGTGGGAACGGTAGACTGTGATAGCAAAGGAACTGTGTTGCTATTAATGTCTGGATGGAAGCAATGGAGTATGATGGCAAGAGAAGGCAAACAGGCAAAAGAGATATTTGAAGGAGATGCACCAAGCTGTAAACTTGGAAAGCTGGACCACTGCTGGCAACAGAGACAAAAGTGACAAAGCTGGAAGAAGAAGTTTGGTGGTGAAAGGAAGGAGTCTGTGGCGTGGTAACATGTTTGAGGACCTACTTTGTTTTTGGAGGACTTTTGGAGATTGGTAGGAAGGAAAGCTAAGATGGGCTCAAAACTGTAAAATTTCTATATACAAAGAGGCCTGGGTACATGGCTTTAACAGATGAAAACCCTGTGGCACATCCCACAAAGTTGGTAGAGACGGATGAACAGCCTCCAAAACAAGCTGCTTCCAACCTCCAAGGCAGTTCGTAAAGAAGGGCTTCCCAACGCTAAGCCAAAATCTATATCTCCTACACAGCATGTAGAAGCTTCTGGAACAAGACCAGTTGCTCCACCCTAGCCAGCATCTTGCATATTTGAAAACTGGAGTCAGGACCTCTCTACCTTGGGTTCTATGTCTGTGCTTCATGTGACATGGCTCAGAGTCCCCTCAACAACCTGTCTGTCTGCCCTAAATACACAACAGCTGGCTTGTGTAGCTAATGTGTCCTAAAGTTTTCATGCTATGTAACAAAGACCTAACATCTCAATAGAATTTGAGTGATTCGAGCTCATAGGCAAAAAAAAAAAAGATTCTGTCTCTGCTCACTTCTGTGTGCCTCCCACCTTGTCTCTGACCTTCACACATAAAACTGTGGAGCCTGGTACTGATACAATATCACTTACCCCATATAAGGGTTGTATAATATTCCACCCATGCAGTGTTTCTCAAATTGAGGTACACAGCCATGTTCTCTAGGGTTCAGCAGTTCAAAGTTTGATTTTCCTTTTGGCAACGTAAAACTATTTTACAAACTAGAACCAGGACATGAGGGAGACCACCATCTGACTAAGGATCTCCTCCACTGTACACAAACTCAATTGTCATGTCTGCTTTGGTGCTGGTGTTTATCAATGCCTGTTCTTTTATTATCAGAGCCTAATGAAAAAGAAGACAGGGAATTCACTTGTCCATGGAGCATTTGAGTTTATATCTGTATAAACGCACATCCCCTGCTAATTAGAAGAATGTGGTGCTTCCCAAGTGTGCTCCTTAGTCCAGAAGGATCAAGACCACCTGACACTAGGTGAAAATGCACATTCTTGGGTCCCACTGCACACACAGCAAATCAGAAATTTTGAGGCAAGGCCCTGTGTCTGGCTTGACAAGCCCTCTGGGTGATGCACACCTGAGTTTGCAAGGCACTGAAAGGATGAGAAGCCAGTGGTGGTGGAGTCGATCCATCACCTTACAGGCCAGGTGAGCTCAAAGAACCTGTGCTCAGCAGAAAGGACCCTGTTCACATGGTAGACAGCAGTTCTGTTCCCCCACCACACCAGCCACTGTGTTAAATTCATGTGCTCCACTGGAATATGTTGGAGTTCTTTTAGTCTCAGAAAGTGACTTGTAAATTAATTTTTGTTTTTTAGGTTTATAGGGCTGTAAATTAAAGGAGTTTAATTCTGGATTCATGCACTTATAAGTAACATTTAAATAAAAACAACCAAACACACCATGTGAGATTATCAATAATGGTGTTCCTTTCAACAGACAATATACAAGACTCAAGTTGGAAGAATAATGCTCTGTGACCTTTTATCATCCCTTTTATCTTTAAGGGACACATGACATACTTTAACAAGACAGGTGCATTAAATGTTACAAAACACCTCCAGGAAGCAGGAGGCTGTGGTAGTGTAGGGGAAGACCAACTCTAAAATTCTTCTAAAAGCTTCTTCCTTCAAGGAAACCTGGAGATACCAAATGGCTTGTCTTCTTATCATTGAATAGCTGCAAAAGATGACAAAAGTCTCCTCAAGGCACTTCGTATTACACTGGTCTTTGCCTCTTTCCATTATCTGACTTGGACCACAAATAAGAGAGATAGGTACTTGTGGGGGGGTTTTGTTTGTTTGTTTGTTTGTTTTTTGAGACAGGGTCTTACTGTGTATTCCAGCTGGCCTGGGTACTGATATTACAGACAAGCACCACTATGTAGCTCATCTTAAAGATGGCTCTAAGGGAACTCTGGCCCAACCAGGATCCAGCAGGTGGTGTATGTAGAAACTCTTGGTTACTCTACCAGATTGACCCAGAATTCTAGTTCTTTTGGAGTTCATCATCACCAAAACCAGCCACAAATCCTTAAAGAGAACCTAGCTCTCTCATCCCAAGACCATTCATCTATAAGACATAAATAGCAGTGAAACCAGAGAAAGAGAAACCAGAGAAAGGCTGTGCCTGGCCTAAACTAAGTACTCAATAAATGTGACCTATTGTTTCATAAAAGACCTTTAAGAAAATAACAGGAAAAAGTTTCAATTATATTTGTGCTCTACTGCATAATAGTGGAAAGCTACATGAATAGTGAGGGAGTCCTAGGACATTTTAAAAGGGAAATCAGACTGGACATTTTAATTCCTCTCCCCTAACGTTTCATACATGTTTAATACCTGGATAAAGAGAAATCTCGTCCCTTTGACATTTCACGAGTATGCAAGAATACCGAGGGGAAATGTGGAATGTGGTTTCTAAGCCTCTGTAATCTCTTAGCATTACGAGGAGTTTCAAAACATGCTCAGAATTTCCTGATGGGTCTTTTGAAATATGGCCCAGGGGCATTTTAGGTTCTCTGTGGCAGACACAGACCCCTAGGAATCAAGATAGTTTTAAAGAAACACAGGGATTAGGGAGAGGAACAAATACTACTGGTGTTTTTCCAAGCAGAAAGAAGTAAGGGTGAGTGATTGTTGGGTAGAAGAAAACCTAAACAATACTGGGTGGTGTGAAATCCTCTGATGTCAAAAGAGAAAGAAAGAGTGATGCTGAAAGAGCAGTGAAAGGGCAGCTGGAAAAAGAAAAGGGGCCATAAAGTGAATCTCTGGAATTAAGTCAGAAGCCAAATGGTGGTCCTGATATAGAGTCTAATACACAAAAATATTCCATGGAGGAAAAGTTGGGGTGTCACCTGTCATCCCAGAGAGGAAAGACACAGAGTCACTGCTCTGTGCAGAAGTCACAAGAAACTTTACCGAGAGGTCAGGGACAAGGAAACCAGCAGGAAGAAGATGAAATTGCTTGTCCTCCCAGCAATTCCTGAGCAATTCTCTCCCAAGAATCTCGGAACCACCTGACTTACACCAAAGTGCAGCCAAGAGGACCTTCTCAAACACACTTTACGGTTCTTCAAGGAAGGAACTGCCTTGGAAAATTTAACCTAACTTTCCTTGAGAAAGTGATATCCTTTCATCTTTCAGTAGCAGCTTTCAGTAATACAACTTCCAATTTAAGGTCATAAAAGTAGAACAGAAACCCAGCCATCCATTTAAAAAAGTCTCCATCTTTAACCTCCTCCATTAAACAGTCAGTGTTTGGTAAGAAATTATTTTCTTATAGACTTCAAAACATTTGTTTCTTTTCCTTCCCTTCTTCTATTTGAAATGCATGTGCTAGCTATCAAAAAAAAAACCCATAATCTTTGATTTTATAAATTAAAAATCTCAGAAACTGAAGGAAGCTTCTTTTTTTTAAAATCCAAAGCCCTGAACGTCCCAGAAGGAACATAGATCTCTTTCTACCACATTCTGCCATCTTTCATGGGGACTTGGAACGGAGAGAAAATCCTTCTGTGTTTGACCCTTACAGTAACTAATGGTTATTTTGTAGCATTTTCACAAAACACTGAGTCTGAGACCAGAAAGAATTCTCTCACCCTCCCTCCTAAACACTATAGTGACAGGAGGAGGGCTGGAGACAAGATGGTGCCTCTTGGCCAACTTGTCTATTCAAAGACATTGAGAGCAAAGATTTTGTTTCCCCACTTGGTAAAAACAAATTCAGTGAGCTGTGGAGGTGGCCTGGTATATTGTGCATGACTCTCCACTATGCACCCATACTTCACCTGTCCCAGAGGTCACCATGAGAGCAAAGAGCAACTATAGTGGAAAAAAATGTTGCATCCTCAATTCTTTGGGGACAGAATCTTCAATGTTGACTTTCCTTCCTTGTAGGGACTCACTGGAGTTCCCAAAATAGCCTTATAATATTTTTGAAAATAAAGTTAACTTAAATTCTTTCCAATGAAAAAGTATATCTGAATTAAAAGGTTTTTTTTTTAAGTTTTTAGAAAAAAGTCAATGAGCAATAATAAATGTTTGATGCACCAGAACGAACATTTTGGTATTGTGTCTGAAATTTCAAAGTTCACTGGAGATAAGTGTGTGTGTACGTGTGTGTGTGTGTGAGTGTTTCAGTCATCTGAGGTAAAGGAAAGAAGTGGGTGATTTTAAGGATAGTTTATATGGTGCTGAAAATAATAGCCATTGTAAATAATGGCAAACCCTAAGACCCCAATACTTTTCCGTAGTCAATTCCTGCTTCACTGGGGCTTATCTCTGGGGGAGAATTTCTCAAGGTTTCCTTGCAAGACAGGCTGGGTTTTTTCTTCAGCCATGCTCAAAAGTCTTGGAGCAAATCCGTATCAGCCTACAGGGTCAAAACCCTCTGGAGACAGGAGTTTTCTTTTGATTTTGGAAGTGAATTCTTTATTGTGTTGTTTCAGAGCAATAAAAAGAAAAGACATTTTATAATAACAGTGTCTAAGCCAGGGAGAAGATTGGTTCCATTTTCACTCTCATCTTAAGCAGCCTTTTAAATTAAATTCTCTTCGGGTTTTCCATTTCCAATTCTGCCAGCAAAACTGTGGGTACCAAACAGAACCCTAACCCATATCTCAGACACAAAACTCCAAAGCAGTGGAAAATTAATCTCAAAGAGGCTCTGAAGTTTTATGTTTTCTCCCAGACCAGAAGTGATGGGACTCAGATGTTTCACCCTCCTGGCTTTTGCACATGCTGTACCTCTGCCTGGAAAGCTTTCCCACCTCTCCCCCATCATCCCTCGTATGCCATCGTACCTGCATCCTCCACTCCACCTGACACACTGTATTTGTTTACAGGTGAGGCTTGTAAGTAAGCAATTGTCTTAATTCAGGCTATACAATGTTTAGGATAAATGTCCCCTGAAGGGGCTGTGTGCTAATGGCTTGGTCCCCAGGATGGTACTACTGGTAGAGGTAGAACCTTTAGGAGGTAGGACCTAGTGGGAGGTTCTTAAGTCACTGGGAGTGTGCCCTTGGAGGGGATTGTGGGACTCCAGGGCCAATGGATCACGGACTGGCAACTCCAAAACTGTGAGTCAAAATTAACCTTTTCTCTTTATAAGTTAATTATCTCAGATATTTTGTTGAAGTGACAAAAAGCTAGCTAACACAGGCTACCATAAGAAAGTATTACAGACTGAGTGACTCTCACAAACAGGCATTTATTTTCTCAGTTCTGGAGGGTGAGCGTTGACATCAGGGTATATTAACTGGGGTGAGGAATCACAACTCAGTCCACAGCAGTAGGTAAATGAGTCACAGTACAAACAAAAAAAGTCACAACTTCTGGCCACATCTCACGACTCCAGGATGGACCAATGAGATATGAGCAAAGGTGACACAGAGGCACCTGGAAAGGCCTTGTGCACTAGCACTTGCCTACTCTTACTCCAGAAGGTTCTTCCACCATCGTGTGAGTAAATTCAACATCTTTAGTGTGTTTCTCTGTGTCTGTTCCCAATAAGCTCCATGTGCCACCATGAACTGAAAGGCCAGTGTCAACATGGAGTTTGTCATTGATCAAGACTAAGAAAGTGGCCTCATTACAGCTTCTCAGAACACCTGCAGCTGTGCATAGCCTGAGACAAAAATGCAATTAAGTGGAAGTTGTCACAAGTGTCAGCTGCCCCAGGAGCAGCCCAACTACACCAGGATCCAGGCCAGGGGAGGAAAGCAAGCTGCTGGCTGGCTGGAGGCAGCAGCCCCTGCTGTGTCCAAGCAGTCTCATCTGGCATCATTTCCATCCCTCCCCTCAGATTCCACCTGCTGTCACTCCCTCCAGTTGGAATCCTTGCTTTTGCCTAATGCATATACACAGAACAGGTGGCAGGGCCCAGGTAGATTGGAAAGAAACTTCCCGGAGGAGCAGGGCTCTTTATTTTAATCATGGAGCCTAAAACTGAGAAATAGAGCATCTGTGTTTACTAAATATGAATTCTTTTTCCCTGGTCAAGGGGCTTGGCAGAAGGAGCAAAAACCAGGCCCAGCCTTTCTGCAGCCTGAACCTTTTCTTTCCCTTTCTATCTCTCCACACAGGTAAGTGATTTCACTTCCCAGTCAGGAAGGAGAAGAGAGAAGGGCCATGCTGTGACACTCGTTGGGAGCCTGAGCCTGGGTTCCCTTCCACAGCTCTGATTATACTCCACAGCTCCCTCTACTTACATCCTAAACTTAAAGAAAACCCCTGCTTCACCTGACATGGTCTGGAAAGAGTCCCTGTCCCAGGCTGAGCCTCATGCTGACAGCTGGGACCACACAGTACTGTCTGCCCCGTTGAAAGTAGGCCCTCAGGAGCAAACTGCCACCTGTTCCCCAAACTACCAATTCTTTTTCTCTGGTCATCACATATTCTGCCCTATCACCACAGTCATGTGACATCCTTGGAGGGTCTCTCGGTACCTCAGACTCCCAAAGTCCTTTTTATTGACTTATGCACAAATTCACCTTAGCATAGCTTTCCACTTAGCATCTATGAGTTCCCCAATTGTTCCAGAACTGGTCTTTCTTACAGGGGGAGACAATAAGAGGTTTATGAAGAGGATAATGGCCCACAGTGACAGGAGGTAATGCAGACAGAGTATGGAACCCCTTGGCAGGGAATCCTTGGATTAAAGCTGGAGTCAGGAAAGGACTGGGGATGGCATTCCAGGCAAAAGAAGGAGCAGGTAAAAACCTAGAGGTGGGGAAGGTGGAGGGGAGGTCAGCGAGCCTGAAGAGCCATGGTGGGACAAGGTAGGCATGCAGAGGTGGGACAGACGGGAGGGAGCAATGGAGTTTTATGCTGATGCTTTAGAAATGATGATGGGATCTCAGGTAGGAATACTAGTGGGTTGTGGAACCCAAATGTGAGGTCTGTGAAGGCAGGGTTTGGTTTTCTTTTCTTCCCAGTTTATGCAGAAAAGCCTGGAAAGTGGAGAAAGCAAGCCAGGATAAAAGGAATCACAGGTGACAGATTCCAGAGCCAGTCCTAAATACACTCTCATCAAATACTGAAGAATTATTTCCTAAGAAAAGAGCAGTGGAGACAGTGGGGGACCGGGGGGTGGTGGTGAAGATGGACTTTTATAAGCTTGATAACTCACATGGACCAGACATCGATTTTGGGGCCATACTTCTTCCTGGCCAGCAGTTCGGGTGCAGCATAGGCGGGGCTGCCACACTGTGTGCTGAACGGGTCTGAGTAGCCCAGGATCCCAGCACAGTTGCTCAAACCAAAGTCTGCAAAAGAAGAGAGGACAAAATTGACTCTGGATTAGAAAACATTGGAGGAAAAAAAGGGAGGGGGAAAAAAAAAACAACAGGAAACATTGGGTCAGGCTAACACATAATTTAGCATCCAAGGCAAGCCAGCAGCTGCAAGCCATAACCTCTGGATATGAGGCCTGAGACAAAGGCATGTCAGGTGGTGGTTTTAACTGGAACATTTGACATCAAGCCTCCCTGTAAAATCCAGCTTGAGCTAACAGGCCGCTGAACCAAAACATATTTCCATCAACTTTTGGAAATGAGTCATCAGGGAGAGAAGTGGCTGGGCTTTCTAGGACTGAAGCAGGAACAGGGAACATGCAGAGGCTGGGAGTCCACCTTCTGGCTTCCTCATGGACAAGTGGGGGAAAAAAAATGAAGGAAGGCTGAGTCTTTGCTGGTTGTTCTTGTCACTAACCTCGGTGACATGCAATCCCATCGCTTACGGGTAACTTCTTCATCTCAATGTTTCATTTCATAAAAGCTTTTTAAAAGTGTTTCCCAAATGTACGTGGCACATTGGACAAACTGAAGAGGGGAAAAAAATATGCCCAACAATTGAAACAGCCTTGTGTGTTAGCTGGAAAAAAAACAGGGGAAGATGGCGATGCTACCTAGACTAAGTGGCCTCATGGCGTTGGTTGTTGCTTTGTTCTTGGATGATGGAGGCAACTGCAGCTACTTGGGGTGGATTAGGCCTTTTGTGATGTGTTTACTTTTGATCTCAAAGATACTGCTCCTGACAGGTAATTAGAGAGCTGTTAGCTTTATGCCCTCCTCTGCTATCTTTCCTCAATCATCAGGGATCTCAGAATTAAGATCCCAGGTCATCCTTTGAACTCCAGTGTAAATATTGTGGTCCTGCCCCCAGACAGGAGCCGCCCAGGCTGCTGGGCTCACTTAGAGACTGGCTCCAAGTCTGGAACCAAACCCTGTACTTTCTGATCAGCCCTATTTCTGCCTCCTTTCATTACTGCTGTTCCCTTCACTCCACAAGTCTCCACCTGCAACGTGCGTGGCTATTATGAAAGCCCCAGGAAAGGAGAAACAGCACAGGGGAAAGCTGGGAGCTGTGAAGCTACTGGCACACCGTGGTTCAAGATGACACCACTGGGTTTCCCAACAGCATGGAGCTGGGCAATGGAACAGACTTTCTACCGAGACCCCACCCAGGCAGAGCTCCAAAACTTCTCAGGCTCTGAAGATCACTAAATTCTTCAGCTCAGGATCCTGGCAGAGTCAGACCCTGAGATGAGGTTGACTAAATCCACCTACCAGGAACACTGTACGCTTGCATGCTGAACCCGGCTTTGGTTTTGTTTTGCTGTGATTTTTCTGCTGTATCCTCCCCTTCTCCTGTCCTCCTGGGCTCCATTCCTTTTCCCACCGCACCCTTACTCACTCCCCATTTCCTTTCCCAGTGGCCAAACAACCCCAGCAGATCCCACATGCCCTGCCCCTAAAAGCCCTCCAGGACACACAAAGGGTCTCTGGGTCCCATCATATGAGATATCTGTTGTGAAAAACCTGAGGGACCTTGTTCTCAGACCCCAGTAGCTCAGACTGCAGTATCACTGATGAAAAGGGAAGGAAAAGGGTTCTTTCCCTCAGCCTCCACTTGGTACTGAGGTTTGAACTCAGGAGCTCCCACTTGCTAGGCAGGTGTTCTATTACTTGAACCACACCCCAGCCTTTTTTTTGCTTTAGTTATTTTTCAGCTAAGATCTCGCACTTTTGCCTCACCAGGCTCAGACCACAATCCTCCTATCTACACCTCTGTAGCTGGGATGACAGGTATGCACCATCACACCCAGCTTATTGGTTGAGGTGGGGTCACACTAATTCCCCTACCCCTCCTCTGGGCTGGCCTCAAACTTTGATCCTCCCAATCTCCACCTCCTGAGTAGCTGGAATTATATGCATGTACTACCATACTTGGTGAAGGGTGAGTATCTTTCTAAGAAGAAAGATCGTGTGGTGTTTAACCTTGGAGGATTGGTTTCGCTGCACCTACCAGGGAGAAACTGGTATATCTTTATGCCATAGCATAAACATGACATTACGTTAGGGGTGACATTTTAAGGAAAGCCTTTTGAACTGTCATGCTAGAGGCCTAATCTCCTAAGAGTTCCAGAAAAATGTGCCTGTAAATTTCTGAGGTCAGCAGGGTTTCTCAATAGCACAGCCTCTTTCAGTTCAACTCCCCTGATCTGGATCTATCAAGAAAGGCAGGGAAAGGCGAGATAAGAGACCAGCTCACCCTCTGTTGTCCCAGGCAAGTAAGGGAACAGAGCCTGGCTTTATCTTAAGCACATTTCAAGAAGATAAATTAGCAGAGGATTTGGCGGGGCAGGGGATGGGAGGGGTGGGGGGGGTGTAGGGGGGTTCATGGAAGGGACAGAACTGCATTTGAAGTGGCTTGTATTACTCTAACCAAAAGAACTCGATTTAAAATACATCGTAGAGAAATAACTAGCATATGTCATGATTTGCAATTCATAATTGCAATTATTAAAAATTTTACACATAGACCTATAATTAGAATGGTGAAACTAGAGAGAGATTCGACTCCCAGTAATGTCACATAGGTCTGCCTCAATGAGATTTGGTAAATACATAAGCTAATTATCTCTCTCTCTTTTTTTTTTTAGAGCTGCAAAATGAACCTCAAAAGAATACTTAAGTAAATGCTGCTTGGAATATGCACAAAACTGTTCTAACTTGTGGCTCTTCCATTTTGAGATTATATTAAACTTATCAAATATCAGACAGCTTTTATTTATTTTTTTAAAGGGGAAAAATCCTGATTAAATCAAATATTATTACTAGTAATTCTAATTAATTTGAAACATGGCTGAGGTAAATGTATTTAAGCCAAATTCTCTCAAAGAAAGAGAAACTATTAAGAGGAAATGCTAATGGCTATAATCACCTTGGAAAACAACTAGGTAATTCCTTTGAAGAAAAAGAGGCTGAAAGTCTTTCAAGTTACAAGAAGACTTAGTGAGGACCTTTGATCTGCACTGCCCAGCCCAGCAGCAAGGAAACCCCCAACACCCTGGGCCTTCTTCCCTGGAAATTGAGGGACTGCTAAGCAAAATGCAATCCTCAGTTGCCTTGTAGGGTGGTACAGTATGTCTTTCATTTATAGGTATAAATTAGATCTTGGTAGCTTTGACAGGTTCTGAGGAAATGGGTTGCTAATGAAAGAATTCTAACAGGGAAATCCAAATACCAGAGTATTCTTTCTAGTAGTTTGGGGAAATCGTGGCTTCTTACACCTGGTCATCTTTCAATAGACTGGGCCTATTTTGTACTGAGGAACTGAGTATGGCCTAAAGCTTTCTCTGTACACTATGAACTGTAACCTAACTTGATAGGTAAACAGACTTGTAACCTACTCTTATAACAAGAGTCTCAGCCAATCACAAGTGGCCAACTGTTCAAACCATGTTCGTGGAAGAAAGTTCTGAGTTGCAACTAATCAGGTTCTCTGTGTCTCATTTCCGTTTTGGTATGTCATTTCCTTTTCTCTGGCTATACATACAACCTTGCCAGATGGTGGGCCCGGCATTTTGAACCACTTTTAGTCAGGACTGGTGCCCATTTCTAGAATCACAAATAAAGCTAAATAAAATCAGCCCACCCAAAAAAAGGCTCACAAGACCCCATCTCCATGGAAAAAAGCTGGGTGAGATGGCACAGAACTGTCATCCTAGGGACAGAGAGAAGTATAAAATTCAGAGGATCATGGTCCAGAGCAACCTGGGCAAAAAGCAAGACCTCTACCTCCAAAATAACCAGTGCAAAAAAGGCTGGAGGAGTCGCTCAAGGGGTAGAGCACCTGCCTAGCAAGCAAGCATGAGGCCCTAAGTTCAAACTCCAGTACCACCAAAAATAAAAAATAAATAAGATGTGAAAAACTGTAATTATTGCAAGTTTGTCTTTTTAAAAGTCCCAGTGATCTGGAATACCTGCTATGTGCCAACCCAGTGGTTGCCAGCTAAGAGGCAGGACTCAGGGATTTGAATAAAGTACTTTCTGTTCTCCAAAGGCAGTCATCACACTCACTCAAAGCAGGAACTGCAGGCTCTAACTTAGTTTATAATTTCTTCGGAATACTTATACAAGTCTCCTCTAAGATGTTCTATTACTCAGCCAGTCTGTGAGCTGGCTCTTCATTTGACCCACTGGCTCTGTCTGCATGATGGGAAATGAATTATTATAACTTTTACCCTAAGGTAAATCTGGCCTTTACCAAGCTTGTTCTCTTAAAATCTGTGCTGTTAGGACAACTCTGCCATTGTCACCCCCATGTTTTCCAAAGACAAATTACAGGTCATTCCCATCAGGAAAACCTAAAAAAGACTCCTTTCCTCAGTTCCTTAAGTTCCTTACCCCCTACCAGGAGGTTTCTTTGGTAAAGGCAAAGAGCCCAAAAGCTGGGCCAGAAAGACATCCTGCAGGCCTTTCTGTACTGCCTCGTTTCACTGTTTCTGTATGTGACCCCCCAGGACGACTGAAATGCAATAGAAAAACAATTTATCAAAAAGAAAATCTTGTGAATGGTCTAAGAAGAGATCTTTTAAAATGCTTTTGGAGCAGGGAATTGGGTTCCTCTTAATCCTTACTGTTCTGTGATGGGTAAATCCATTAACACCTGTCAGTGGTACTTCATCACCCAGCCAAGGGGGCTGGGGTCCCTGCAGCCATCTGCCTGTTCCTGGATTGGTAAGTGACTATGATTCCTCGCGATCCAATAAGTCACCTAGTACAAAGCCTTTTCAAGCCACTGACATGGAAGAAATTGCTTGCATGTAAGTTAGAAAAAGAAAGAAGAGAGAAGAATAACAGATGGTGTTAATATCTGGATGTAAAAATGATGGCCGTATAAAGGCAAAACGAAACACCTTAATTCTTCTAGAGAGTGAGCCACAGAGCTAAGTCATGTACGGATCTGGAATTATGAACCAATGAGGACAAAACTGTCCGGAGCTTCCTTCCCAATTGGTCCAGAGTCTTCCTCTGAGGACACCTCTCTACACAGCCACATTGTGTCATGGGGCTGAGACAAATATCATATTAAAAAGAGAAGGCTAGTTTTATTCTTCTTTATTTTGGTTATCCTTAGATTCACTAAGAAATAAAATGAAACATGGCAAAGCCATGGGCAGCATTCCGGAGCCAAACTTTTTTCCTACTATTTTTAAGACATTTCTTTGTTACTTCAAAAAAATAATAAACTCTATTAAAGTTAACACCATCTGAATTTCAGAAGTTAATTCTAAATAATCCAATGAAATGTGTAACCAACAAATACTTATTTGGGACTATGAAATTCATTTCACAATCTGATTACAGTATTTTATCTTCCTAGTTATGTTTAAATTATTACTTAAATAATATAAAATTCTATTAAAAGTTAATTTTTCATTTTTGAAACTATGACTAATTAGAAGTAAAAGAAGGTGATTGAGAAAAAGATCATGGCTAATTTTCAAAGTTGAGAATTAACAACACAACACTTAAAAGATAATCTTGTTTTTTAAAAAAAAAAGTCATACCAATCAGCTTGATATTATTGTCTTCATCCAGTAGCAAATTTTCTATCTTCAAGTCTCTGAAATAAACAAAACCACAAAACATTTCAGATAAGCATTGGAAACAGAAAAATGACATTCTGCTTCTGGAGGGACCACCTGCCACCCACCCATAAAGCTCTCTGCCAAAACTCACTCCAGCATCCAGCATGTATTTATAAGATGTGATATAATCAATTGCCACTGGCTAGAGGATTTCAGAGAAAACAAAGGACAGAGGAATCATGAGAAGTTTCCAGAAGTGGACTGCAACCAGAACCTGGAAGTTCCACAGAGCCAGGGTAACAAGGCAGAACACACTGCTGCCTGGCTTAGGGAACTATGCATGAAGCCACAGTCTGTGACACTATGAACAATGTCAGCCAGTCAGAAACAGATTTGGGAAAGCAGGTTAAAAACAAAAATGAAAGCTGACTTCATTCATCAGTCCCAGCATGTTTGGAGCCCCAGTGTCATGACAAATTGGCAGGTGCTTTAATATGCCAATTTAGCACACAGAGTTTAGCAGACGTTAACACATGCAGAGTAATGGATTCCAGAGAGGCCAGGGTCCTGATCCCTGGGGTTAACCTGAAATTGAGTGCACAGATGGAATGAAGACTGTTAATCAGATAACAGGCAATGCCATTCATTGACACTGAAGTGACAGGGATAAAAGGAGAAAAACCCCTAGGGGTAGGTTGAAATGTGAAGTGCCTGTGGAATCTGTATTAGCCAACTATAAGCTCCTTGAGGGCAGGGAACTTGTCTGTCTTGTTCATCATCATACCTTAGTAGCTTTGCACATCCAGGTATTCAGTAAAGAACAATCAATCTATATTACCAAAGAGATCATTTTGGATTTCAAAAGCAAAGTATGTATTTATACAAAAGTATGAATATGGGCAAAAGAATGTATTTGGTCATCAAAGTCATCTAGGTCCGTGACTATAAACTGTCAAATTAAATTATAGCCTATCAACCCAGACACACCTTGAATATTAATTATAGGAGAATACTTTATGTATATATGTACATATGCATACATATATGTAATACACATTCTCCTCTGTTGTTTTTAAACACTCCATTTTTGGTTCAGCTTTAAAGATTTTTCTACATTCAAACACAGAGATGAACAAAATAAATATTCTTTATCTCTATTGTAAGGAACTGAATGATCTAATTAAGATAAAACAAAAATGGTAGCTCAAAGCTCAGTCCCAGTACTGCCAACCCATACTACTTTACAAGAGAAGCCAGAAATTTGGATTTGGTCTCAACTTTATACACTGGCAACAACCCACATTTAAAACCATAAGAACACCATGCAGGCCAACCTCACCCCTCACTGGCAAGATCTGGTCTGTGACTACCAATTTTCAACCTCACTCTGGGTGGGAGCCAAAGCCTTAAAAGGACGTGAGATTTCTCAGGGAGAGGGTAGAGAATGGGAGAGAAAAGACCAAGGAGCATGGGTTGCTGGGGGGCTCCGCCACTTGCAAAGGGCTGGGAAGGAACAGTGGGGAGGCAGGGATGCTGTTATCATGAGAACAACCAAGAGCAAGATTTCAATTCAGGAAGAATGCAGCAGTCAAATGGAGAAAACGGGTAAGCTCAGTGGATTCAAACTGAAGGCTGCTTGTAGCCTTAGGGCCAAATGCTTGGATGGGAAGGAGAATCCTTGTTAAAAGCACAGCTAAGAAATATAACTAGATACCCCCCCATCTGAATGCACTCACAATTGGGAAAAATTGTATACTTTCACTTCAGTTCAAATGAAACCACACACGGCAATACTTTAAAACTGTCTGCCTTGAACAAGTCCTGTCTGGGAGGTTGGTACTAGTTGGGTACTAGTTGGTACTAAAGGAGATGGGGAAAGGGTACAGGAGGGTGAATACAGTGCAAATACTGTGTGTACATGTATGAAAATGGAAAAATAGGACCTGCTGAAACTATTCCAGGAACGGGGGAAGGGGAGATAAAGAAGAATGATATAGGGGCTGAATTCAACTATGATATACTTGATATATTGTAAGAACTTTTTTTTCTTTTCTTTTTTTTTATTTCCTTTATTCATATGTGCATACAATGATTGGGTCATTACTCTCCCCTTCCACCCCCTCCTTTTCCCTCCACCTCCTCTCCCCACCTCCACCCCCACACCTCGCTTCCAGGCAGAAACTGTTTTGCCCTTATCTCTAATTCTGTAGAAGAGACAGTATAAACTTTAATAAGGAGGACCAGGGGCTTTTGCTAGTTGAGGTAAGGATAGTTATACAGGGAGATTCCTAGTTTTGCTTCCATGCACATATGTGTTACTTTCTAAATTGATTCTTCTCAAACTAACCTTATCTCTAGTAAGAACTTTTTTAAAAGCCACAATGTACCCCCAGCACAACAATTGAAAATGCAATAAAAGGGAATTACAAGCATATAATAAAAATACACTCACCATAAAAAAAACTGTGCCTTTAATAGATATCACATATACCCAAATACTAGGTGACCCCAAATATAAGGTGACTGCACCCCTTTCTCTCAATAGGAAGATCTTGCCCCTTAGATAAGAGATTTTAGAAGACACAAATATATAATTTCAGGAATGCGATGGAATTATTAAATATCCATTGCTGCTATTAACAAAGCTCTATCATCATATTTACGGTGCAGCTATATGAAAGCATAATTAATTTTAGAAGTATTATTTCCACACCCTCACATTTCAGAAAATACTATTATTCCAATTTGATAAGAGGCAGAACCAGGATGGTTCTTTGAGTCATTGTATAGTGTTTTCAATGGAAGAAGCTTTCCCTTGACTACATGTTTCTTTTTTTTTTAATTGTTTTATTATTCATATGTGCATACATCCTTGACTACATGTTTCTAGTAAAGTGGCAGCATTGGGACAACCAGGGCCTCACACATGCTTGGCAAGCAATCTATCACTGAGCTATGACCCCAGCCAGTAAAGCACTTTTGACTCTGTGTATTATACACTTACCAGAACTCTTATCCCAAGCCATGAGCACTCAAGTGACACAGCACCTGCCTAGAAAGCATGAGGCCCTGAGTTCAAAGCCCAGAGCCTCCAAAAAAGAGGCTCAGCAACTTAGAGAAAGAATGAACAAATGGGACTTCATGAAATGAAAAAGCTTCTGCACAAGAAAAGAAATGGTCTCTAAACTGAAGAGAACACCCACAGAATGGGAGAAAATATTTGCTAGCTATACATCAGACAAAGGACTGATAACCAGAATATATAGGGAACTCAAAAAACTAAATCCCCCAAAACAGTGAACCAATAAATAAGTGGGCAACTGAACTAGACAGAACTTTCTCAAAGGAAGAAATCCAAATGGCCAAAAAAACACATGAAAAAATGCTTACCATCCCTGGCCATAAAGGAAATGCAAATCAAAACCACTCTAAGATTCCACCTCACTCCTGTTAGAATAGCTAGATCAAGAACACCACCACCAACAAATATTGGCAAAGAGGCAGGGAAAAAGGAACACTCATACACTCCTGGGAGGAATGTAACCTAGTACAACCGCTTTGGAAAACAATATGGAGGCTTCTTAAAAAACTAAACATAGACCTGCTACATGATCCACCAATCCCACTCCTAAGGATATGCCCAAAGGAATGAAACTCAGGTTACTCCAGAGCACCTGCACACCCATGTTTATTGCAGCACTATTCACAATAGCCAAGTCATGGAAACAACCAAGATGCCCCAGTACTGACAAATGGATCAAGACAATGTGGTATTTATACACAATGACATTTTACTCAGCCATGAAGAAGAATGAAATCTTGTCATCCACAAGTAAATGGATGGGAACTGGAGAACATCATCTTAAGTGAAGTTAGCGAGGCTCAGAAGGCCTAAAATAGCATGTTCTCCCTCATATGTGGATTATAAATCTAAAACAAATGCAGTAATATTATTGGACATGGGTCACACACTAAGGGAAGAACGTGCACAGGAGGACTAGGGAAAGGGAAGGAAACCTAAAACTTGAAAGTATTTGATGTGTCCACTGCAGAGAAGCGAATAAATTAATCTTCCACTATGGGAAGGTGACCAGGAAGTAGTGAAGAGGTCTGGTAGAGATGAATCAATTCGGGTTGTAATACACATGTGCACGGAAGCAACACTAGGAATCTCTCTGTATAGCTATCTTTATCTTAAGCTAGCAAAATTGCTATGTCTTTCTTATTATCACTTATGTTTTCTCTTCAACAAAATTGGAGAACAAGAGGGCAGGAACAGGTTCTGCCTGGAAGCAAAGGGGACACGGGGAAGGGGAGGGGACGGGGGGGGGGTGGGGAGTGATGGCCCAAACAATATATGCACATATGAATAAATGAATAAACAATAAAAAATAAAATCTTTATAAACTAAACACCCACCGAATTCTGTTCAATGTGGTCTCTCCATTGTGAGGCCACACATCTGGAAGTTACTGTTAAAGCCACCTCAAATGTCTTTGCCCTCCTTTCTTTCAGGTTCCTTGGGTGACTTCTAGGGCTCCCAAAATCATTGCAGAGTCAAATCAAGGTTGCAATGTGTTTTTTCAACTAGTGCTTTGATGTTGAAAAATAAAAGAATTAAAATTGTGCCCCCAAGATATAATAGACTTGCAAGGACAGTGTAAGGCACTTCCTTTTTTCCAAAGATAATTAAGATGTCTATTCAAACATGTACAGTAATTCCAAAACAGATGGTCACGCATACCAACTAGTGTGTGGGGAATGACCCAAACTGTGATTCTGTATACCAGCATTTAAAATCTGAAGCAAGATCACAGTTTGGTTTGAGTGAAATTAAGCCTCTTTGCCTGGGAAGAATGGAAGTCACAGTACAGCATTAAAGAGAAATTTGGTTCAGAACAAGTACTGTGCAGAAAACCAGCTTAAAAAGATGAAGTAAAAGGAAATAACTACCCAGAATAATCAAACCAAGCTTGGTGATTCTGGGGCCATAAAATCCTGGAGAACAACTACAATGATTAGAACAATGATATAA